ATATTGATTATGATTTAACTGATAAAAAAAACAATTTACTAATTATCATTCAGAATTCAGTCTTGTTGCCAATTTAATTAACTGATTTAGATCAATGAAAAAAAACTCCAATTGATCATAACAATTGATCAAAGTAAAAAATGTCAACATTATTTTGCTTTTTTCATCTCATGAAATTGATCAGATTTGAATTAAATTCTGATTGAAACTCATGAAAGAGAGAGAGAGAGAGAGAGAGAGAGAGAGAGAGATCAACAACCAAATAATCAACTAATTGTTACAATTAAGCAAATCCGCTTGAGACGGATTATCATCTGATCACCAATGAGACTGAGAGGAAGTGCAGTTGAAAGACTATGATGATGAAGATAATTAATGATGATAAGAAAGACAAAAGGAAAGAGGTAAAGTTAATAATAACCTTTGTGCCGATACTAAGGTCACCATATTGGAAGCGTTGTCGATCGTTATAATTATCATCATAAAGATGTCAGGTCAATATGAGAGCGAAAGAAAAAGTTTTTCTTCTTCTCCTTTTTATCAATGACATGGATTCGGTCTGTTGATTGTTAGTTAATTGTCATGATTATCAGTAATTAGTTGTCAATGATTACCATCTATTTATCACTAACAATTTAGTGTGAATTTAAATCACTTCGTCTAATTATTACTCTAATTGTTGTTGCTCAACATTAATGGTCACTTTGCAATTGATAAAGTTTGTCAGATATTTTTATTGGATAACATTTGAATGTTAATCATTTTAATTACTGTGTTTAATTATTGATTAATTAGCTCATGATCATCAACGGAAACTGTTGTTGATGTTGTTTATTCAGACTGATGAGGATTTTTAATTGTTTACCTGAGCCAATTAACGGCTATTGATTGTTTACCTATTTCGTATATTGAAATGATTATTATTAGTGTTAATTGTTAGTTAATAAACTGTATGCATCTTGAAATGGCAACAATTAACTTTAATTGTTGTAATACATGTGAATAATTTTGCTATTGTTGCACCTAAACAATTAAGAGGTAATTAAAAAATATGAAAGGTTAATTGTCATTTCTTGTTGATTAGCAAGCAGACAAAATTAACTATTGTAATAGTTTAATTTAATTGTTAATCAACATTTAAGGTTAACAATTTGATACCTTTCATTTAATTATTAATGATGATTATTAAATTGTCTCTTAATTGTCAAGTAAAAGGTTATTGTAACTTTAATCATCGTAATTTAATCAATAACATTAAAAATTGATCCTAATCGATAATCATTATTATTTTAATCATCAGTCTTTAATCATGATTAAGGTTGATCAAAGTTTTCACAACAACTAAATCAAAAAAAAAATGCTCGATTTGATTAGGAAATAGTTAATCATTTGAAATTGAATTAAATTGTTGGCACGTTGGAAATTGATTAAGAAACTTTTTCTATCACAATTACCTGATTGTTTGGTCACCTTGATTATTTGGATTAATTTTGATTATCCAATCAAGAAGATGAAAGGATTAGATTATAATTTGATTGTTAATTGTTTACGACAACAAAAATGATCACACAAATTGATTGTGATTAAGTTTTCATTTGATTAATAATTAATCAATAATCGTTTCTGTCTCTCTCTCTCTCCACCCAATCCAGTAATTGTAATTAGCTTTAAATTAATTGTTAACAATGAATTTCTGGATTGATTATAAGTGAGAGAGAGAGACAAGTTAATTAACTTGAATAGCAATTAAAGTAAAAACAATCAAGGTTAACAATCAACTGGACAATTAATTGTTTCCTGAATCAAAACCTGAACAGGAACAACAACAAATTAAACTTACACAATCAATGACAATCTTAATTAATTATTGTTCATTTGCTGTTCACAATAATGAATTAAATAAATATATTGATCAGTGAATTGAATCAATCTTTCATTTATACCCTAAGGCTATTAGACTGTAATTAAATTAATCATCACAAATAAGACATATTTTAACACTAAGACGAAAGGTAATTACTTTTAATTAACAACAAACGGGAAACAATTTAGATAATTAATGTTATTGATCAACTGGATAAAGATTAATTGTTAATGTTTGTAAATCAAATACTATTATCACAATGATAATGGAGGAAGAAAATTTAGAATTGGTATGAATTTTTAAATTGTTATCATTAAATTGTTCTTGTTACAATTTAATCAAGTTGTAGAGATTTAATTTGAAACAGTAAATTATGTAAATCAGTGAATCAAATTACCATGATTATGATTATTATCTTGTAAGAATCATGAATAAAATTGAATTTCTCATCATTTCTTATGAGAAGAGTGAAAATTTTTCTCAACCAGAAAAGTTGAAGAAAAAAAAAGTTCGAACTTTTTTCCATTCGAATTGAGAACTTTTCTTCTTACATAAATAATCACAGTTGAATTGTGGAAGACAGAGATGAATTGATGATAATACTCTCAGTGAGAGAGAGAGAAAGATGATGATGAGGATGAGGATGATAAGAGAAACTTGAAGACTTGAAGATTTCAACATCTAGGGTAACAAAGTGATGACCCAAACAATTGGTCAAGTTAAAGTGACCATGATAAATGTAATCATTGTAATGGTTTTGTGTTCCAATGATGATGATGATGATGAGGATGATCATCACCATTGAAACAATTAAATGACCTAGACAATGATCAGGCTGTAAAATCTGGTAAGTGTGAGTAGATTGTTGTGGATTGGAATTTAAAGAAACCATAAACAAAAGTGGAAAGAAAGAGAAAAAGAAAGGGAAAAAGCTTGAGATCCATTTATCTTCACAATCATCATCATCATCATCATCATCTTAATCTTCATCTTTTACCCACTCAAGGGTCCAATATGTCCACTACCATCTAAAGCCTTGACCATCACCACCTTAAAATGGTTTACATGTTCACTTACTTTGAGAATGATTTTTATTAAACTCATAGGAATCCATTGATTTTCCAGTTGAACGTGTTAAACATTTTAAATGATTACATTTAATTCAGTTCAATTCAGTTCACAATTGTATCACAATGATAATAATACAATCAGTAATAAACGTGTAAAACAATAACAATAAAAGTTAATCCATTATCATCATCATCAAATTGGTCATCTCAAGATGATGACCAAGTGAAATTTTTTCCCGTTACCAATAAAATGAAAATGAATCAATACTTTCACCAATTTCTAAACGTAAACGATAATCATTTGCTAATTGTTATCTCGATGGTTAAGTCTACTAAGAACTGAATTTCCTCAATTCGATAATCAGACAAAAAATGATAAACTCTAATCGCGAAGTCAACCAATTTTCAAATGTCCAAACTCGAAGTTCAAATGGTGCGAATATTTCAAATGATTCATGAGATATCATGGTGAACATCAATGACTCAGTTTTCTTTATTAATAACAATTGAATCTTCTAGTGAAATCATCTGAGTTTTCAGGATAATCTTTTGACAACGATAATGAACTTTGGTCTTAGTAATCAGTTAATCATTAACCTATTCAACTGTTTGTAGATTTGAATTGATTGTTGTTTGAGATGGACTTGGAAATTCAAAAGTTAATCATAATAATAAAGAAACGAGATTAGTTTAAGTGAGTATTTAATGAAAAAAATGGATAAAGATGAAAAGAAATAGTTGAATTAGTCAATTGGTTGATTAAGATTTCATCATGTTATTCAGATTCTTGAATGAAGGAAACTTATTATCATGGAGTTAGAGTCTCCCTCTATCGCGATGAAGCAAAAGGAAGATAAAAATGTAAGTAATGAAGATAAAAGATGAGGATGATAAAAGAGGAAGACAAAAAATTTACCTTTTTCTTTTCTAATTTTGTTGTTTCAATTGTTAGATATTTATTTCGTTCTGGTGATGAGGATGTAAAATGATGTCCAGGAATTTGTATTAACCCTGAAGGTAAATTTTACAGAAAAAGATAAACAAACAAACAGGTAACCAAATATGAGAAGTAAATAAGATTAGGATGAAGATGATGAGAGAAAGAAGAAAAATTTTCTCTTCTTCTTCTTGGAATGTCAACTTTTACCTTCTCTCTCTCTCTCTCTCTTCTCTATTTCTCTACATCTTTCTCATCCACAAGTGATGAGGATGATAAGGAAGATGAAAGAAATTTCTCTTTTGACAGTTTCTCTTTTTTTCTTCTTCTTAATTATCATCTTATCCATGAAATGGTTTCTCATTGAAAGAGGGTCAAGGACCTTAACTTACCTTAAATCTCAGGTGTATCAGTAGCTGAATTCAAGGTTAATCTACTGATGATTAAGCTTCATACCGATTGACTCATAATCTTTAATAGTTAATCCCTTGGGTGGATTAACTATTTGATTTACATGGTGAAGCCAAAGTAACGTTTTAATTATTACCATTATCAAGTTCAATTGTCATTCAATATCAATATGAATCTCTAGGATGATCAAAATGGTTAACTTAATTGTCCTCGAGTTCAAGTAAACAAATAAGTTAATTGTTGCTATTTCTTATTATCTCAACAATAGATTTACTATTAGATTGCTGATTTAGTTTTTGTTTTCTTTTTGTGTTTAATTGCTGTTATTTTCTCAATTGATTTAATTTTTGTCACAATTAACCTTTGATAACCTTTTCCTGGTGGTTGTTGTTAATTGTTTTCTTGTTAATTGTAATTAGTTGATAATCTTCTGTGGTTTTTTGTTTCGTTTCAATTGAGGGAAAAAAAATTTCAATTCTCTGAAATGGTTGAAAAGTTTTCTGTATTATAACAATTTATTATTATCAAAAAGAAAGTGTTGTTAATTGTTACAGTTAATTGTTGGAAGATGATTATGGTAAAACATGTAACATCTCAAAGTTAATTGTTGTCAAAGTTAAAAAAACAACTTAAATTGTCAACTGTCAATATGACAAAAGGCTCCAAATGTGAGTTTACTTGATGAGAATTGAAAAAAAAAGCAAAACAGGTAAACCAATTGACAATTCAGTTAATTGTTTAATCTCCATGTGATTTATATTATTAATCATATTTAATTTAACAATTAACTAACGAACTGTTTATAACTTGAAACACTAATTAATCATCTTTTTTTGGTGGTAAATGATTAGTGATGAGGATCAACATCCTCCACCCACTTCCTCCTCTCGAGAGGCACTTGCACAGCTCAATCAATCATGATGATGAAGATGAAGATGATGAAGATGAAGATGAAGATGATTATCATCATCACTAAGCTCCTCCATCTTTACTCAATCCAATCAACCGATGGAAGAGTCAATAACTCAATTAATTTAGTAAATACTTTGATAGTTGATCAACTGTTACTCTGGACTGATATTGACAATTGTTTTCATTTTTGTTGTTGTTGTTGTTGTTGTTGACCAATTTCAATAGTAAATTTTTTAAATTAATTACATTTCATTTAGTTGATTTCTTATATAATAATAACATTAGAAGTTGTTTAATGAGCTTTCCATTGATATCAAAATCAAGATCCAACTCCCTTTTGGATGGGCTTACAATGTATTTGTTGTTGTTTTGTTTACCAAAAAATTGTTTGGCTTATCACAATCAGAATTAGATAATAATAATAATCATATCCATAAGCATAATAATAATATATTAAATATACAGGAGAGAGAGATGATGATGATGATGATGAAGATGATGAAGAGATGTGGAAGACGATTATGATTATGATTATGATAATGGCTAAGTTATTATCGTCTTTGTGTCTTCTTACAATCTATTGGTAATCTAATTGTTTTCTTTGAAAAATATTGATCATTTTAAAAAACAGAAACGAGAGATGATTAAAAAAAGGGAACAGATCATCACAATTAAAGTCTTTTCCTGGTGATGGTTCATTTTTCGAGTTGATTGTTATCGAGGTTTGCGATTTCCATGAGAAGTTTTCTTTTTTCGGACTTTCTTTCTCAATAAAGTGGGAGTTATGCTCCTTTGAGATGTAATGAAATCAAAAAGAGAGAGAGATGTTTAATGTGATGAAGATGAAGATGAAGATAAAGTTGATTGGGATGAAAGAAGGAAAGACGAAGAGTACGAAAGCAAGAGGTAGATTTACATTACACCGGGAAGGTTAATATTTTCTCTCTCCTCAATCATCTTTGTTAATCGTTCCTTGTTTAAGTGAATAGTTAATTAGTACATTAATTAGATCCATTAGCAGAGCAGGTGATTGACAATCGATTGGAAATTAACGAGATTTGGCTTTTTCACCAAATCGTTTTCGCTCTGTGCCCATTGGATGATGATTATGAATTGAATGATTGTTAATTTTGTTTCTCTCCTTTAAAAATCAGCAAAACAATTGAAAATAAACTTGATTATCCCAGAATAAATTGTCTCTTTTGATCCGCATTTTATACATAACAATACATTTCATCATTTACAATTAACTGTTGTCATTGTAATGGCACTTCTACTGCTGGTGGTTAATTGAAATGCTGCAACTTGATCATTGATAATATATCCAAATTGATGAGAAATTGTATTATAATAATAATAATAAGCTCCATCTTGTTTTGTCTTTATGACTCTGAACTCTCCCATGTGAGAAATTAATTCTAATTGTGATAAGGATTTATAATCCTTTAAGGAGTTTGTGCTTTTCATTGTGACATTTAGACCTCTGAATATTATTCATGATGTTCTTGTAGTGACTATGTAAGGGTAACCAAAAGTGACAAGGAATTAACGGTCATCGGCAAACTCGTCTCTCTTTCTTTTGAAATCCGTTAATTAATTGTTTAGTCTCAGGTTTGTAATCAATTCTTTTTCTTTGTTCCATCTCAGCTTATTACCTCCCATGTTACAGAAAGAGTAAACATGGAAACGGAAGTATCTCTGTTTCTTGTTTCTTGTTTTTCTCATTTTTCATTTGCCTTGGATTCGTTTTCTTGTGTTAAGAAGTTGTTGAGAGAGAGAGAGATAGAGAGAGAGAGAGAGAGAGAATTGGGAAGGCGATATTACATTTAAGGGAATAGATATAAATCTGATGATGATCATGAGGACGAGGATGATTGGGAAGGAGAAGAAGATGTTTGATTAGAATCAAAAGATGTGGATGGTGATGATGTACTCGTTTTGGAGAGATACTTTTTCCTTGCGGTTGTTAATAAATCTATTCGTCTTTTTCCAAGATTTGATTGTCTTTCTGAAGGTGATTCTGAGAATGAACTTCCATAGATTCTTGATCCTGGATAGACAAGATGATCATCAGCTATTGTTCTCGTTGATGATGAAGATGAAGATGATGCTATTGGTGAGATGATTGTAGATGAGGTGGATGGTAATGGTGCTGTTGTTGAAAATGATGTTGATGGTGATGATGATGATGAAGCTGGTGACATTGTAGTATCATACAAATCATCTAGTGGTGTTTTATGTACGGTGGTGGAAGATATTGAAAAAAATGGATTCTCATTACCACTACTACTATCACTACTGGAGGAACTGCCACTCGGTGAGTTACTGTTGATTGAAAAGTTATCCACTTGACTGGTTGACCTGGAAAAATAAATTGTAACAATTGAGAAATGAGACCAAATTGTTGATAATAAAGGTAAAGCAAAGGTGATAAAAAAAAATGACTTCATCACTAATTTGGTTGGTCACAGTTACTTTTCAGATCAAGTTGCTAACGCAACAGTTAACAACAATCGATTGGATGAAAAAAGTAGTTCGAAAAGTTGAACTGTCCAGTGATAACAATATTGATAATGATCAATAAAAATGGATAAAACGGAAAGAGAAAGGATCGATCCAAATACGTAATCAAAGGTAGAGAAAGAAGGAAAAAAAAGTAAATAAGTTTAGAAGAAAACTTTTTTTTCTCTCTCCTTCATGGAAAATAATCAAATCGAGAACCAATTGTTTGATAATGAATAAGTTTTTTCTATTCGCTGATTGTTGTTGTTGTTGTTGTTGATCCTAAACAAGCAACAAAACTGTCAATCAAAAGGCATTGGGATGAATCGTATTTGCAATCGAAACTATTTCAACTTCCGTAATATCCGATGATTGGAGTAAATGAATTAACCTAATGTGATACTAAACTAAAAAGGAAAAGAAAATAAAGAAATTAGAATGAGATCATTAACTTTGTTATTATTGTAGAAAAAAAATTAAGAACGAAGAAAAAAAAATCAAAGACTGAATGAGAATAGAAACAAAAAAAAAATGGAAATTATCCAAATTGATCAAGGATAAATCACAACCCATTTACAAATCATTGAATTAACATAATCTAAATTTCACTTGTCTAATTAACTATTTCATGGTGTTATTAGCATCATGACGAATCAAAGTTTTATGGTAAATAGGGAAAAGATGATGATGATGAGGATGAAAAGTGAAAAAGAATGAGAGAGAACAGAAAAAACAAAAGGTATTATCACTTTGTTTACATCTTCAAGGCTACTATCATGAGAGTATATTTAATATTAATAAGAAAAAAATTACTATTCTTGAGTGATGTTGATAATAATTGCAGAAAAATACGTTCGGTGTGTCAATAAGAAAGGGAATGAAAATATTACATGAAAACTAAATAAGAAAATGAGATGATGATGATGATGGAAAGTAAAAAGGTAAGAAATACCTTAATGCTCTGTGGTAAGAAACAAGATGATGAAATGCTAAGCTTGAGTAAATCTGAATTCTCAGAGAAAACTGAGAAACCTTGGAATTGAAAACTTGGCGAGTAACATGAATGACATTGATAGTAGAAAGCAAGCTCCCTCTTACTCTCTTCTAGTTACTCTTTCTTTCACCCAATCTTTTTCAACTCAAAATAATTTCTAGAATGAAATATTTAGAGTTATATTTTTATCTTCCATGAAAAATTTATCATCACACAAAATCTAGTAAACATTCAGGGTAAAAGAAACACTCAGAGATTGTTAGTTTCAACTACTCACTTTAACTTGATTAGTTTTTCTGTGCTAACATATTAATAACAATTAACAGATAAACCATTGATTGTGATCAGTAAAACAATTTGAAAGAATAACAAAAAAAAATGGTCTCATCTGATAGCGATTCTTGTTCAAGTACTATGATGATAATTAAACCCTCCCTCAACTCGTAAACATATGAAAAGAGATATTTGAACTTTGCTTTAGTTTTGATACACTTTTTTTCGCTCTCTCCTCCATCTCAGACATGATGAAAAGAGAATGAGAGTGTGAGAGAGAGAGATGGAGAGAAAATGATTACCTTGAAATGTCTTCAGGTTCGTAAGGACCAATTCGACCTTCTAAAATATTCTCAGCGGTTAAATCCATACTTCGAGTGATCCTTAGATCGGCAATGATGATGGCTAAAGGAACATGAGGAAATGTGATCTGAATTTGACGGACATTTCTTCAAAAGAAATAGTTGATGCATGAGTTGCTCTGGTATTGTCCAGATTATCGTTTATACTAAGATGCATTGTAGCAAGAGGTCGGGTCACTTCAACTGAGATACTTGGTAACCAAGAAGCGTAACGAGGTCCTTCAAAGTGAAAGAAATTGGTTCTTCCTCCATTTCCACGATTATTATCTCTATCACCTCCATTGGTTCGAGTATCATCATCATTATGATCCTCTTCAGTTCGATGTTTCAATGAAGTTCGACAGGTTGGACATGAAGTATCCTGTTCAAGCCATGATCGTAAACATGAATTGTGAAAAAGATGAGAACAGGGAAGTTTACGAGCCGCTTCCATCTTATCCCAGCAAATGGCACAATCGTCACTATTTTTTTCCAATTCTTCGGTTGTTGCCATCGGAAAATTGGCTTCCATCAAGCGGACAACCTTTTGTTTTCCAAATCATAATCGAATAGAGAAAATAAGAGAGAAACAAGTTAAGATTAGATGATCAGGATGATTAAGACAAAATTATATGACAAACACATAAGAACGTGAAAATAAGTGAATAAGAAAACAGATAATAGAAAGAGAGATTAAAGAAAAGAGTCATCAAGCGTAATCGAATGCGTAACTAAATAAGATAATAGAAAAAGATTATATGATATAAGAAGGAAAAAGAGAAAGAAATTCTATTTGAAAGATTCTTCATATAATACTTTTAACTCATTATCGATTCTTTGATATTGTTTTCTTTTTGTATTTCTTACCTGTAGATAATTTTTATGCTTACGAATACGACGATTTATCTCAAAGAAAAGGTATCGTAATTGCATTAGGATAACTAAACTTGCCACTGAGAGGATAATGTTACCCCAGAAGAGCATATGAAGATGATGGAAGAAATCAATGAAAAGAAGAGCAAGTTCAAAGACCAGTTCGGTGAAATAAGCATATGAGGCTCGATTTTCCCAGACACCTTCATGATTAAGATCCCAAAGGTGAATAGCGTAGCGTATTGAAACGTAAAGGGTTCGCACGGCAACAAGTGAACATTCAGCGGCCATAAAGGCAAAGGTATTTAATCCTGCGTGTAGACCGATAACTATGCAAACAACAAATAGTGAGAAAGATGATGCAAGGATAACGGAGAGAAGAAGAAGAAGACGAAAATGTGTCCATTTTGGGGTCATAGGTGAGAAAGAAAGATATTCAAAACGATCTTTACACAATTGTGCAAGTAGAGTAAGAAAACCAAGTATTGAAAACCAAGAGACCCAAAGGACAACTTCATCCATTGATTGGACATTCATTACACCAAAGATGAAGATAAATTTGTAGAAAATGAAATTCCAGAAACGATCTTTCATATGTTGCTGTTCGGATACTCTTAGTTCACCGAAAACCAGTGTTTGAATTACTTTACCCAATAAGATTAGGCAACAATAGGCCATGTTGATTAATGTCCAAACACAAAGGGGCTCATGTAACATCAGGTAAAGAACATCAATGAAACGCTTAAGAACAGGTGAATCAAGTAGGAAACCAAGATGGATTGAGGTTTCATTGAAAGATGATAGAATACCCGAAAGGCCTTGACCAACAAGTAATCCGCCATCTTCTGCTTCTAGGCTTCGGTTTATTAGGGCCTCTGAATCAAGGGTGACGTCAACGGTTAGGGTTGCATTTAATTTCCAATCGGGTTCACTTGTTACTTGAAACGCATACCAAACGGAACAGGACAAAAGTAGTACACTGATTGTTGTGTAGGCTTGAAGACTAGGTAATGGTAATATCTCTGGAGTATCGAGAAAAAAAGCTGGCATAATTGTTAATCAATATTAAGGTGTTGGTTCAGCACTTGAAGAAGAAAGATTTAAGTTGAGATTTGTAAGAGAGGAAGAGAGAGAGAGAGAGAGAAATAGAAAAGGATATTGGAAAGAAAGACTTTTAAAATGTATAAATGGTTTGATGATGTTATTGTTGTTGATTGATGGTTGACAATTTGATGATGAAGAAAATTATTTAAGGTTGGTTAGTCTTTCGGTAGTGATGATAGGAAAATCTTTCTTTCCTCTGACAATCCCTTTGATCGTCCAGATTAATTGGGAGTAACCTTGTTCAGTTGTTTCTTGTTTTTAGCCTCGGATAAATTCAATTGCTGGTTATTTATCTGTTGAAAGATCAAAAGGAATCATGAGAAAAAGGTAAGAAATATATTATGTGTAATTTTAGGGGAAAAAAGAAGAGATAGAAAAAAGAGAATAGAATAAAAAAAAGTAGATAAGATTATTAAAAGAGAACAAAAGAAAACTGGAGAATTAAAGTTGCATAGTAAACAGAATTTAAGAACTTGAGTGATTAATAGAAAATTACAGATAAATTGTTGGGCTGGAAAAGCGAGAGGAGAGAAAAAATTAGAGACAAAAGAGATGACGATGTGAAAGAAGAGAAAAAGGAGAGCAAAGAGAGAGAGAGAGAGAGAGAGAAGAAAAGTAAGGTCCGACTGAATGAGATGAAATAAAGGATTACCTTAAAAGAGTGAGAGAGAGAGAGAAAGAGATAGAAAGAAAAAAGAAAGAGAAAGAGAGAGATTATCATCAAACATAGTTACCTTTTTTTCACCAAATTAAATGAAAGACTGGTGATGATAAAAGGAAGATATTGAAAATTGTGATTGATTTTTTCCGTAAAAATCAGTGTAGAGTTGAAAGTAGACTAATCCAGTATTCTAATGAGATAAATATGATAAAATAAAAAGAACAATTAACAGCAATTAACAATTAGGTCCATGATAATTGTTGATTAAAAACATTCTCATTCAAAACAATCACAAAAAATGAAAACAAACATCAAAAAGAGAGACACAAAGATTGGATCCAAAATGGATCCGATTCACAACAAAAGAAGACTAAGTATTAAAAATGTTCTAAATTTGAATTGGTTTTCTTTTCTTTTTCTATAATAAACAATCTAATCCAGTCAATGGGTAGAAATAAACAATTTAAATATAGAATTTTGAACAGTTTAAATTATAAAGAAAACAATTAATCCTAATGACTGATTTTCCTTTTAAAACATAGGAGAATCAGAGAAACAAAAGTCAATTGTTAGAAATGAAAAGATTCTAATTTTTAAAAGGAAATTAATTACATTGATTCTCTTACTTGATTCTTGGTGATTTCAGTTTTCTTTTGGTGTGATTGAAAGAAAATACACTTGATTAAACTCACAGGAGATTAAAAATAGAAATAAAAACAATTAAAATTCACATTGTTGTCAATCCGAATCCGAAAAAGATACTAAATTAATTGTTCGTTTAAAGAGCAACAGATGGCGACTCAATCGATTTTGGTTCGAATTTTTTTTCGTTCTAATTTTCAATTGATAGAAATTAGAAAATTTAGATTCTTAAACAGTTATACTTATAAAACACATTAGTTGTTTGAATCATGTAACCTATCAGAGCAACATGTGACAAAATTATCATGTCCTAGGAAATTGTTCAAAAGTTGAAGGTTATTAATGTGTCAATCAATGAACTTTTTCAGAGTTACAATAAGAAAATGTTAATGAAATTAGGTTTTGATTGTACCTAATGTTTGATTTCAAGTCGATTGAATAAAAAACTACCAAAATTTAAGATTCGCAGCCGAAAGTTCAAAGCATTTAAATTGTAATCAATACAGAGCATTTCATCAAGTTTCCAACAAGTTTTTCTTGGATAACTTTTTTGTCTTTCATTATTACGACCTCAGACTCGAATTATGGGAGTTTGAACTAATATTATCAATGGTTATGTTTCATCCCGATTGTTATGATAAGATTTCAAGTCCATTTGATAGCCGGGAAAAGGTTTGCGATCAATAATATTAAAAGGTGACAATTGAGTAATAACTCGAACCTGAGGTCGTAATAATGAAAGACAAAAAAGTTATCCAAGAAAAACTTATTGGAAACTTGATGAAATGCTCTGTGTTGATTGCAATTTAGAGATGATTTTCCGGTTAATCCAAACTGAAAAGTTCATTAGTTTATAAAATAAACACCAGATAGCGACCGTAGTTTCTGTTTTAATTGTTCTAACTTTTAATTGTCTCTCAATGTTTAAAACAGTTGAAAAATAAATCATTTGCTCTTCATTTGATATTAATTGTTTCATTAATTTTACTCCAGGATTAAAAGCAATTTTAAGGTGTAAGATTAACCCTTTCATTAGCTTAGAAACGTGTATTATAAAGACATTAGAATCTAATTACTTACAACAATTAACCATTCGATTGATTCTGATTGTTACATTATCTCAATTACTGTTTTGAAATAGTTATCGTCTTATTTTGACTTTGAGATCGGATCATTTGCCGTGCGCGTTAATTTAATGTCATAAACGACCAGAATATCAATGATAATTACTTTTTCTCGGCATTTTCTAGGCTTAATGGTTAACCTAAAGATGGCTTCCTTTAGGCGATCAAGGGAAATGTTGATGATAATGATAAAACCATTGATTCCTGAGGATGACAATCAATCTGTTTAAACAAACCTTTGGTTAATATGGTTACATATTGACAGAGATCGTGAGAGAGTGTGTCATCCTTGTGCTCTTCATGTTCCTGGTTCCAACTCTCCCTTGGTGTGTCTTCAATCAATCATCATCATCATCATCATCCAATGAACTGATTTCCAATTTTCGAAAGCCCTTGATTTTTATATTCTCTATCCTCTAATCATCACAAGCGAATGTTTAATTTTCATATTCTCCATCATCTTGATCACCTACATGAACGAAACCCATTAATTACTTGTTACTAATTAATGTTGTGTCAATTTGTATTATCTAATCAACTAATTATTACCATTATTCCAATTGTTTAGATTAGTTTTCTTTCAAATTCAATATTTAATCATGACTATAATTCACTTTTAATTGTTAACTTTGTTTCGTTAACAGAAATTGAAACCTCTTTTCTAATCATCAATAATCTCATTTGATTCCAATTGAGCTGTTTAATTATTTACCAAACTAATTAACTAATCAATCGAATAATTTTTTCTTGATTATTACCAATCATTGTCAGTATAATTAACACGAAAACCTTTCACATCCATTAATTAGTTTCCCTTTTTTTTTAATGAGATTTTTTCTTCTTCTCTTGATTAACTTAAATTTCAATGCAAAAATGACAATTTCAAATCTCTGATAATTAATCGTAGTTCTAATCAATAATTTGTTAATAGTGTTTAATTGTTTTCTAACCTTTAAATTTCTGATTGATTGATTGTTCATCTTTAACCAACTACGAACTTGAAATCTAATTATCATCATCTGGTAATCTAATTAATTACATCATTCCAATGATAAATGGGTGTATTGTAATTACCAATATATTACAATTCATATGATCTAATTGATTGTATTAAAACTTATGTACGTATTTAATTGTCTATTAATTGTTATCACATAACACACAACCGTTAATCATGATAATTGAAAAGTGATTAAGGTTTAATCATCAACAACCAGGTAAAAATCAACCAATATTATTAAAACTAAACTCAACAATTATCATTACAATTGTTTGTATTGGTTTTTGATTGATATTGATTTAATGTTTAAAGTCAGACAATTAAATCAATGTTAATGATGATGAGTTGATGTTTAATTGTTGTATTTGATTTTGATTTTTCTTGTTGTCGTTCAAATCAAATCATTTGTGATATTGAACTTATTTTTTTGTTGATCCAACAGTTAATTGTTGTCAAGGGTTAATAGGATCCAATTGGATTAACAAACCAGAAACAAAATAATACAGTTTAAATAATTAACTGTTATTATTACAATTAACTTGCCAATTGATGATTATCCCCTTTAATCATGACCAAATTAAAAGCAATTTAATTTCCTCATTTGATTTTTTTTTCACCAATTCTGTTAATCTGATCAATCTAAATCATTTGATAATCTTATTTAAAACCAATTTTATTAACCGATTTGTTATACTTATCATATTTCCAATTGTTTTTATCCTTAAAGAATTAACTAATTAACCATGAGAAACTAATTCTTTAAAATTAAATTGTTCTGTTAATTAACATTACCAATATAAAAAAACAATAACAATCAACTAAATCACAATCACAGTGATTGTAAATTGAGTTAAACAATTATCTAAACATCATTTTTTGTTTTGTTTAATTAACCCAAACAATTAGCATAATATTATTTAGATTATAATGAATAATATCAATGTTAAGGTTAAATTGTTACGATTTCCTTGTTAATGTAAATTGTTATCAACATTAAAACCGTTTTTGGTTGTAGGTTAAACAATTAAGGAGACAATTTGACAAGAACTAAATTGTACACAAAAACAAATTGATTTAATTTAGTTTCTAAATTGTTTCAATTTAAGCTGATTTACAAATCGGATTGGTAATATTGATACATAGTAAATAATTTATATACATAGTGACTTAATTGCAAGATTGTGATGTTGTTTGATTGTGAGATGAGTTGATTGTTGATTTAATAATAATCGAGATCCATTTTGATTTGATTTACTTGTTGTTGATGGTTTTGTCAAATTCACTGATTGTACCAATTGATTGTTGTACCAGATGGTTTAATTTTCGTTGTTTATTTTGGTCTGATTGTTAATCCATAACAATGATTATAATCTGTCAATCATCATCATCATCATGTAATCATCCATTTATATGATCATCTTTATCCGCATCTTTGATCCGCATCATTTACATACCTTAGGGATGTACAACAAAGGTAAGCAAACAACTTGAAAATACTTTAAGATGATGATGACCTTAAGAAAATGACCTCAGGTCAAAAATGTGAATATGTAAAAAGATGAGACAACAACAAGTAAAATCATCTCTCTCTCTCTCTCTCAGTGTCCAGATGAAAGTAACATTATCCCTCCTCGCTACTAATCCTCCTCCTCCTTTGTCAATACCCAAAGTGACGGGGTGGATAAGTAAAGTGAGACAGAAAATGTTGACACTGTACAAAAGGAGGAAGAGATTGAAGAAAAACCTTATGGTCAGTGTGGATGTTAAATCGTTGACCAACATCAACAATTATCATCTGTATCTTTATGAATAAATATATTATTATTATTATTATTGTTGTTGTTGTTATTGTTGATGTATCGTTTAGGTTGAAGTGTCGCACGTCCAGCACTTGCCCCATCACCTTTACTACCAACAAGTCCACCATCAACACCTGCAATCAAATTACCACTAGTGGTCATCCCGACAACAACATCTCTTAATCGTGTTGATTTATAATGATCACGAATATCAAATAAATCCAATGGGAGATCAGTTGATGTTAACACTTTGGCTGCTAATCGTGAGGATATTGGTAGGATTACCTTACGACGATAATGATAATGATGATGATGATGATTAGAATGATGATTATTATGATGATGGACAAGATGACAAGCGGCAGGATGACAGGTTTGATATAAAGGTAATGAATGATGTTGTTCAGTTGATTCAGTTGAATCAATTATATCACAAAGAACTGACTTTTTTGAGGATTGTAAACTTGAGCAAGTATTACGTATCACATAACCACGGATAAATATATTATCCTCACCTTGACCAGCACCTTGACCAACACCATCAATACTATCACCGCTACCACCACCGGGACTACTGGTAACACTTTTTGAGGTCAACTTTTTAACACTTGACCCACCGCCGCCACCGCCACTGTCCAAACTGTCATTGTCATTGATACTACTACTATCATCATCTTCATCATCATCATCTTCCAATAATGATTTATCCCAGAATTTGAACTTTTCAACTCCAGGTAACTTTGCAGGTTTCATGATGTGATTAATTCAATTGGACGGATTATGAACACCGGGTAAGAGATTAATGTTAATCAATAACTGTTAGGAAAAACTTTTGAGAACAAAATTTGTTGAGATTAACAATAAGACAATTAGGATGAGATGAGAAAACAATTATAATCGAGATTGATGAAAACAAGTAATCACTTCAATTGAAGATGATGATCAATGGTAAATGAACATGATCCAATTTGATAGAGACACATGAGAGAGAGAGAGAGAGAGTATGAGAGAGATAGTGAGTGAGTGAGAGACTCGAATTTGAGAGATGATAATGATGATGAGTTTGTGATGAGAGAGAGAAAAAAACAGAGAAAAAAATGAGAATTCAAGTTGACTCAATTTGCGCCATAGAAAAACTGAAATGAGTGAAAGAAAGAGGAAAATGATGATAAAAGGGAGAAAAGAGAGAGAGAGAGAGAGAGAGAAGATGAAGATAAGGGGAAAAAGAGGAAGATGAGGAGAGGGAGAAAGCGGGAGAATGGTAAACCAGGCACACAGACACATGAATCGGGTTTCCATTTTGAAGGCGTTTCTTTCAATTAAACAATCCTCATTATCCTTAGTTGGACTAATCCTGTCAACCGGATTAACGTTAAAACCAGTAAACTGAATCTACGATTGAACTTTTTTCATGTTTTCATGGAACAATTAAAATTGATTCGGTTTCAATTACTGTTTTCACTTATACTCTTCTCTCTCTCTCTCTCTCTCTCTCTCTCTCTCTCTCTCTCTCTCTCTCTCTCTCTCTCTATTCTGTAATTGTTGTTACCAACTGATTTTGTCAATTTCACTTTCATGTATTAACAATTAACAGAAATCTATTCATGATGATGATCAATATTTTTTGGTCTTTTCATTAATCATAATCAGTTACAATTGATTAGCTTTTAAAACAATCATATTAATCATTGTTCATGAACTTGAAAAATAAATAACAATAAAAAACGATTATCATTAATCATTTGCAATTAATTTTACAATGATAATGATTAACAATTGATAATCAGTTGAAAGTGTTTATTGATTGATTGTTGAGAATGAAAAACAAAATAATATCTGATGAATCAGTTAATTGTAATTTCATTGATGATCAAAGGTTAGAAACAAACAGTTGATTTAATTGTTAATTTCTGAGTTAATTGTTGATTAACTGAATAAGTGAAAGGTAAAAATAATTATCAATGAAAAAAAAACCGTTGGCACTTTGATTATAAATTCACTGTATGTGTTTACATAAATGATTTTATCCCAATGGAATAATTTTTTAATTCATTTTCTCATCAAGTTAATTATGTTTGACCATCTTATCATTACTTACCTGTGGTCAAGAGAAAGGTAATTAATCAAGTGAATTTGATTGTTGATGACGGGAATCATTTAAATTGAATTCTGGTTTGTTTTCAGATTTAAGTTAAGGTGCCAATAGGAAGACACCATGGGGATTTCATGCCGAGATTCAGTTGAATAATCATCATGAACCCGTTGGCGTAATGAGGGAGGTTTGAAGATGATGAGGATGATGGTGATGGTGATTATTATTAGTATGTGAGTTTAAATTGTTCACAATCAAGGAAGCAAATTGTTGGTGTGGAAGAAAAATTTTTTCACTTCATGTTAGATGAATTACTAAGTTGATTTGTTACTCAGGTAAGTTAATGATAATCTTCATGATGATGAGGATGAGATCAACTTTTTTTTCACTCTCTCATTCACTTTAGTAATCAAGATTAGAATGTAATATTTAAAGGTAAAGGTAAAAGGGCAAAATCAACGGGAATTCAAGGGGAATGGCCTTTTACCTTTTTTATCTTATCATCATCGCATCTTCATCCTCTGTCTATCTTTTTGCTCATCCATCCTTGTGAACATCTTACCTTTTGTGTGTATTAATATCATCAAATATTTTTCCCTAAATTGATATTAACTTGATGATGGTCTTGATAATTTCATGTTGTTGTTGTTGAAGATGAGGATGAGGATGAGGATGATAAAGGGAGGGAGGAGGAGGAGGAGGAAAACTTCAGGTGAGTGATATTGATTGGACCTCATGTTGACACACATTTTTACAAGGTTAAGGCCTAATAATTTTACGCTTCCTAATGTTTAAGAATAGGAAAATGCTGAAGGAAAAAGGTTAAGATGAGGTTAAAGGTTAACAAGACTTACAGGTAACCACAGGTCACCATCAGTACCATCATTATCATTATCATCATCTGTAATCCTCATAGGATTTTTTTTGTTCAGCTTGCGCTTTTACAACAAACAACAAGATTTACAATGGGTCAGTATTTTTTTCTGTACCTTTGGTCAGTTCTCTCTCTCTCTCTCTCTCTCTCTTTTCAATTAAACATTTACACTGATTGTTCAGTTTTTATTGCATCTCTTTTCAACTAATAATAATAATTATCATTAACTGCATTTGTTATTATTGTAGGCTACCTTTGACCTCTAACTCTAGGTGACTTTGACCCCTGACCATGATGACTGATGTATATATCTAAACAGCTCGTGTGTATTTTAATGATAGGTACATATTATTGTTTCATTATCATGGTCAATTTATCAGTTGGTCAGTCAGGTAGTGGCAAAAATTTACTCTCTCTCTCTCTCTCTCTCTCTCTCTCTACTCTTTACTATCATGATCATCATGATAAGAAATCATAATCCAGGTAAGTATGCTTGGGATTTATTCAGAGAAAGAGAGAGAAATATTCACAATGAAACCAACAATCAATGATGATAAGTTGAAGTGATTAAGTTAATCACTTTTCAAATTATCAACCTAATCACCATTTATCAGTTTTCCATCATAATTAACATTTTTTTGTTTCCTCTCAGTTGAAATTTACCTGACAGGTAAAGGTTGAGAAATTATGTGACCTTCAAAAGGAAAAGAACAAAAAAATCATTATTATTATGAAGATGAAGTTTTCTTTTTAGGTTTTATTATCATTTGTATTTCATCAGTGAGATGGTCTCATCATCATCTTATTACAAAAACCCACAGGTAAGTAATTAGGATGAGAGGAGGAGATTGGAGAGGAGTATAAGGAGGGAAAATGGGTTTAAAGGTATTTCCAAGATGGCGGCCTAATATCACTTCTATTAACCGCTATTATCTATTGATATGATTACCTTGTTAATTTTTTTTTTCTTTCTGTAGTTCTAAACTTTAAGGTTGCCTCTTTATACCTTTCGGGATGAGGCCATGTTTTTGTTTTCTATTTTCGTCTTAAGGTTACATCAGTTTCCAGATTGATTGGGATGAAGGTTAAAGGAGAGATGATGAAGATAAAGATGAAGATGAAAGTGGCAAGATTATGATGATGATGATGGAGATGGAGATGACCAAGCCTATGATTTTGTTTTGTTTCTCATTCGTGATCAGGAGTGTATATGTAACTATCATAGACATTGATGATAATCAACTCGAAGCTAAAGGTAACAATTTAGTTGATTAATATTATGATTAACTTTAATTTCACTTTTCATTCTGATTATCTTAATGATTAACTTCATCTTATATGTTAACATTTAATTCAAAAAGGTAACCTCACTTTTTTTCAGTCAAAAATCAACTAAAATTATTAGTAATTTAATCATGTTCAATATTAATCAAGTTGTTAGTGATTATAAGATATTACGTTAATTTTAATTAACCACTAATTAATGAATTTTAATCGGGTAATTAGCTCAACAATTAATTTCTCTCTCTCTCATTGTCTATGTTAATTAAAATTGTAAACAATTATGATCCTCTTAGTTGATGATTAAATTAATTACATTGTATTATTATTAGATTATCATCTTAATTGATGAAAAAGTAAACAAAGTTAAATTATCATTATGATGATAATCAATCATGATCACTTGTAGCATCCGCATCAATATTATAATGATAATAATTTTGACTTTTAAACTTGTTGATTTGATCTTGACATTTTAATTGCAATTAAATAAATTGTGGTTGATTAAATTTTCATTGTTTGATAATAAAACTCAGCAAGAAGCAAATAAAACACAATTAAAATGAATAGATTGTGGGTTAAACTGACAGGCCAAACATACACACGGAAGATGTTGTTATTGTTACAATTAGTTGATTATCATGATCATGATTAAATTGAAAGTAACATCAACAAGCCTTAATTTTTTTGTACAATTTTCTAACGTTGATTGTTATAATATAACAACGGTAACTAGTTTAACTGTTGGTAATAATTTTTTGGCCTTTGCTTATTGGCAAACACACACACACACACATAAAAATATAAACTAAATCAGCTAAATCATAATCATAATCATAATGATTAAAGGCCAAAAAAGTCAAGCCTGTAAAACAACAAGCAAACTCAATGAAAGTTAATTCAATTCAATTTACCAAAAAGCAATCTAAGCAATGTATTTAAACACACACACACACAAACTCAGTGAGTTGATGATGATAAGGATGAGAAGAAAGAGAAAAAGAAAGACAATGAGTCATACCGGAAACAAAATGGATGATGAGAGAGAGAGAGAGAGAGATGATGATGATGATGATGAAGTTAGATGAAGTATTTTCAACGGACTTTGCTGATAAAGTGAAAACTGGTTTCCCTTAAAAACAAAAAAAAACTAATCATGATTTAGTTGTTAATCAACAACAATCAAGTTATTATATAAAAATATCATTAGCTATGAATTTTTGATTTTACAGTTTGATTAGGGAAATGCAATTGAAAACAATTAAATTGCTGCTAATTGTATTTGAAAATTTTACGCAAGGAAAGATGCATAAAAAATTAGACAATTTAATCAACGGCAATAATTATCACTGGTAACAAGTTTTTCAAACCAATAGCCAGCATCCATTCAGTTATTACAGTTTCCCACCCTCTCGAGGACATATCATCATCATCATCATCATCTCTCTCTCTTCATCTAAAAGAACCGAATCTCCTGTATAAATATATATCGAATTCGGGAAACCGAGGTCAATAAGCCGTTCTACAACATGTACTTCTATCCCTCCCCATTGATCATTAATTCACTTTTCATATTCACACCTGATTCCAATATTTTCCCTTGCATTTATTTTCAAGGTCATCGTCATCGTCACCATACAAACACATTCACACACACACTCACTCACTCATTCACAAACTCCCTTTCTCTCTCTCTCCTCACCAGGTAAATCACATCAATATACCAACAAGACTCATTACCAAACGTAACCCGTTTTTTTTTGCAAAAGTTTCACCTTCAATATCTTACAAACAGAATAACAAAAAGAAACTGAATCAATTGATCACAATTTAGATCTAAATTAACCTATTGATTATTTTTCCGTTTCCATTTACCTGGATAATTATTATCTCTTTATTTTTCCTCATTTTTTTTATCTCTTTTTCTTCAATTTTTTTTTTCGGTGACAAAGTTTTGTTTTACTTAATAATCAAGCAAAAGAAAACGTTTTATCAATTGTTATATTGATACGATTGACTAACATCATGAATGCTGATTAGTTTAAGTTAATTAACTTGTTTGTTGACAGAAAAAAAAACAGCAGCAACAAATTGTTTGATTGTTTGATTGTTGTCTCTTAGATTTTTAAACAACTTGTATTTCAAAATTTGATTGCAATCAAACTGAAACAATTAAATTTCCTTAATAACTATTTCATCATCTAAACGTTCATGGTACTCACACCTCTTCACAACTTTCATGATGATTCTCAAATCATTCAAGTTTAATAACACTCAAACTTTATTCAGAACTTTTTTTCTTTCACTTATGACTCATTTCTCAACTGATTGTTCAGAATTTTTTCCCTTTCCCCCTTTTCCCTACTCGAATCAATGATCTTCTATCATCATTATCATCAAGGTTATCATTTGGTGTATCCAGGAAAGAGTAAAGAAAAGACACAAAAAAAGAACAAGTTAGAACTTTTTTTCTTCGAACTTTTTTTCTTCTCTTTTCTCTCTCACTCTCTGTCTCAATTGTTCAATACTATTCGATGAAACGTACCGATAACAATTAGCACTTGACAATTCTAACTCGACTGGTATTAGAACAATTTTTTTCTCCATCTTAATCGAAACAATTTACTAATCATCAATGGAAAGAAAATAACAGCGACACCTGTTGACTTTTTTTCCAATTTTTTTCGGTTGATTATTTTTTCATTTCTCTTTTTTTTTGATTATTATGAGTGTCAATCAATTGAATCAGATTATCCGGAAGAGGATTAAAATGAACTTAATTGTGAACCTTGATTAAGAGGTAACAGAAGATGATCATTTTCATGATGAATGTTGATGAAAAAAGTAAAAGTTCTGAGCTTTTTGAAAAGCGAGAGGGAAAAAAAGTTGACAGAAAATTTTTTATTTCTTCCAATCATCAAAACTCAAACAATCAATTGTTTAGAATTTAAATTGCTAGTTACATTTGGCAAATCAGTTAATTGTAATTTCATTGTGGTCAATTTAAAAAGTTTAATCATGGTAATTTGTTCATCATCATCATCATTACAAGTTGATTGGTGTTATTAAGATGAAGCAAATCAAAGCAACAGTTAATTTAGTTTAAATTATTGATGATAAACTAATCATCAAAAATATCGTAAATATTTACTATTGATTAAAAGGATAATCAAATTAATCAACTGGAATATTACTGATGAAATAGATTGTCGCTTGATCAGCTAACAATCTGGCCAAATTGTAATTACTATGCAACGATTATTCAACATGTTCATTAATCATTATCTAATCATGATAAACAATCAGCTGATTGTTGGTGAATCATGAATATACCTTTGTATTGAATAGAGACACATACACAAGGTCAATTGTTTATACCTGACCCGGGACCGATTTGCATCAATGAGTATTTTCATTGACAATCATGCAATCACAATGAAGAAAAAAAAAATCAACTAATTGCAACAATTTAGCAACTCAGTTAACAATTGAACTCAAAAAATTTTGTGAAATCACAACAGAAAATTTTTTTCGTGAAAAACTTTTTTTCAATCGCAATTATTGCAAAGGTAAATATCGTACCTGAGCTTCAATCGCCACCATCATGTAATAGACCATCAACCACACCCAATTATCTTCTCAGGCTCAGAATCAGATTTTTTCTTACCTTTGAAATATCACAAGAGAGATTGAGAGAGAGAGAGATCAATTCACCTTTCCGATATTCCCAATTTTGAATGTCAACTTTTTCCTCATCTTCATGAATCATTTTCATCTTCACCTGGGAATTGAATTTCCTGAACCAGTTTAAATTCAGTGTATCTAAGCTGAAATTACCTGGAGGGTGAATTTATTTATATATCGATTTACCATCTTTAGGCCAGATCTTCATCTTCAAGTTATAATAGTTGACATTTTTTTCCTGTAAAAAAATTTTTCTCAACTTTTTCTTAAAACTTTATTAATGATTATCGGTTAAAGATGATTAATGATTTAGATTTGCGGTGAAAAAAAGTTATCATGATTAAGATGATTACGATTATAATCAAGGTACGGAAATAATTTCATAAATATAAATACTTAATTGTTAATCATCTTTTAATTTAGTTACTCCATCTATTTATCAACTACGATTTTATCATTGAACATGTTGAACTAATTTAAATGTACGTTGATTAACAGACAAACAATTAACTGTTATAATCAATAAACTAATGTTGTTAATTTTTGGCCAACTTGTTATTTTAATACTTGACTGATTAGTTGATTGTGTTTAATTTGCATTAAATTACAAATCTGTTAATTACTTTCTGATGCTTTCATTTCAATTAACCTAAATAAAGTTAAATTGTAACTGTTTTTTTTTTGCTCAACATTTTGATGAGATTGTAATAGTTTTTAATTGTTCAATACATTAAGATGTTAATTGTTAATTGTAATGGTTAACAACAATTTACCTCAATTTATTCAACTTTCATTTCTAAATCAAATTAAAGATGATTTAAAATTGATTAACTGTTATCTTTATCTTTAATTTGATGGATTAGTTTGCAAACATTTAATTAACTTTTGATTTTAATAGTTGATTAGTATAACAAATTTGAAGAAAAAAAAAATTTTTCTTCTTGCAATTAGTAGACATAATTTCAAGGTAATTGTGAATCTTTAATCATCATATTCAAGGTTAATTGCTGTTGATTGTCCGATAGTAAATTATAGTTACTTGATTTACTGTCAAATTAACTTTTACTGGAAACTATTAAATTATAATAAGTTATATATGAAAATGTATTTGTAATTAACTTAAATTGTAACAATTTGTTGTCAAGTGATTATAAACAAATCATCGGTAATTAGAAATGTTTTACAATCATTTTTAATTGTTGTTGTTAAATAAATCAAAGTTTGATGAATACATTGACAAAATGAATAACAACAATTAATCAATTGGATATTTGTGTTAAGTAATCAAGAAATTTGTTTCCGTTAACTGTTCACAATCAAATTTGATTTAGTTTAATGTTGACTTTGTAACAATAAACAATTTGTAAAAAAAATGTTCAATCATATTTTTGGCATTTAAATGATTAACTAAAATTAACTTTCATTATGATTTAGTCAATCATTTGATTCAATTGTTAATAATAATAATAACTTGGCAATTGTTTAAATGTTGATATCATGGTAATAAGATTATCATTGTGATTATGATAATTAACTGATTATTATGATGAGCTAATGAAAGTCATGATTATCATTAGCATTTGATGAATCAGTTTCCATGAAGGATTAATTTGAATTCGTGGGATTGAAACTGAACTTTGGTTCATTTTCTTGGCAACGATAATCATTATCAACCCTGAACATCAATTAATCTATGGCAATGAATGTAAACAATTAACTCTGTCTGTCTAACAATCTATTCTAATTGTTGTTAGTTAAATGTTACCTGTGTAAATAGTAACAATTTAATTGTGAGAAAATGAAAGTTAATTGTTAGATGAATTTCCAATAGATGGAAGCACAACTAGGAAAATTCAACGAAATGGATGTTGATTAAAATCAGAACGGAATTAACATCGAGTGGGTTCAATTAAAGCAACCAAAATCAACTTAAAAACAGTCCAAATAAGAGCCTTGAGTTTGATGAATCGACGATGATGTTGGTACAATTTCACTCGCAAATACGTTGACGCCGATTCGGACATCGATCGATGGGGACACACGTTCGGGTGGCGAAAGACAAGCAAGAACACTGGTCCCTGTTGCTGAGAGTCTTTCGCTCAAAACTGGACCAGAAAAGTAGTAATAAACTGCTGGCTTTGGCTCATGAAATGTTGTTCCAACTTTTCCTCATTTTTATATAGAATTAACTATGATTCACACATTTTATCGCATGAATAAATTTCAATTGAAAATTAATTCGACAAATTTTTAATTAATGATACAAATCATATAAATAAGATCGACAAAATCGAAGAATCATCATTATCAGTTCGTCTATCAAACATTGAACATCAAATAGATTGAACAAATTGTTCAATTCGAATATTTTCCAAGTTTTCTTTTGAATTCGTTTTTCAAAAACCATCTCTCTAAATTTATCAAAGTGTGAGTATGATTATTATACTTAAATTGTTCAACAATTATTGTTCAATAATTAACTGATTCTTTTGTTTAATTTTTGCTTCCTTTGTGCCAGGTATCAATTTGTGAAGCGAAATTCATCAGCGATATTCCCGATACCGAACACTTACAATACATCGATTATAAAGTAAGAAAGTTATTTTGTCTCAAAAGGACCTTTTATCAGAACTTTTCAGTTCTATTGATGAGTTTTCTTTGAAAATTCTTTCAGTTTATGATCTCCATGATACACCATGATGCACCAAATGGATACAGCCATTCATCAATGAAATATCAAGGGAATGATTCTACAGCGTGTGGTTATTTTTGTGTCTTATTCCTAATCTTGGTTAATAGAATTAGAAAAAATTTTTCATTGTTTAAAATTTGTAAACATTCAATGAATGAAAAAATATTGAAAAATATTTTGACTAAAATTCTTGATGAACATGATTATTAAAATGTATAACCAATTTTCAATGAATAAAGACAACTGCTGAGCTTTGGCTCATTTCATGAGCCAAAGCCAGCAGTTTATTACTACTCAGGAAGTTGAGTCGTTGAGATGTCCGATTGACCCTTTCGACACTCTGTCCTCTCACGAACGCAAAGTGCTTCGAGCGACTGTTCCCATCATCAGAATCTCGCAGTTGCAAACATTTCAGCCAAAGATTATACATGTATTCTTAAAGTGGATGTTTAGAAATATAAATTCATCTTGATTCGTTTCTTAATTGTAATTAAAATACGTTGAGTTAAATCCGAATCCTGGTGTTCAGAAATTGAATTTTTTTCTCCTTCAAAAATTTTCTCGTCAATTTTGATTAGTTTTTTAATTCATTTATCTCAGTTAATTTCTCATATCAAGTAAATTTAATTGTTAAATTGAATTTCGTTTCTTTATCCAAACATTTAGATGTTCATAATAAATAGTTGAAAGATTTGCCTAAGGGTATTGGTGATAGGCAACAATTGACAGTTTTATAATGGTTTCCACTTTCTCTCAACAATTAAAAGTTTCACAATTTTTATCTTAGATATTAAATTAGATTCTCGGATAATAAGATTAATTATTTGACAGTGATCATTATACTCATCAGGTAGAAGGGGCAAAGGTGATGAACATAATTGGTTGAGTTCAATTATTATGCTTACTTTCCTGGAAAGTTACATTGATTTTCTTAGAAAAGCAATAGTAAAATTACCTTATAAATGGTCAAATTGTTTATTGATTATTAAAGTTGCTAATTAAGGGATAATTAAGTTGTTTTCTGTTTAACTAAATTAAACAACAATTAGTTGATTGTTGTCAACCTTAATTTACCATTCTCTTATTTGGTCAATTATCAAATCCCTTAAATTGGTATAAATTGTTGTAGTGATATTTATTTAGAGAATTGGGATTTGGACAATTGAATGTTGATTTAGTTGATTTAGTTGATTTAGTTGATTTAAATAACTTTATTATCATTTTACTTTTAATACATTTGACTTGAGGTTTTAAAGAGGTGAGAGAAAGGGTTTAGGAGAAGATAGAGAAAGGAACTAAGGTAGATCTCGACACTGAGATCCTTCCTTAGTTGAGTTGATAGAGAGAAGGAAAAGTTGGAAAAAAGGTGAATCTCAACACTGAGATTCTTCCTTTCATTGGAAGGGTTGAGAGGAGACTGAGGATGATTCTTCTTTCTCTCTGGGTTTTAATTTATACCTGAGAGAGAAAGAAGAGAAAGAAAATGAAAAGAAAGAGAAAAAGAAAGAGAGATGCAAATCTTTAATCCTTGATCTTTACTTATTTTTCTTAATATTATCTAAATTTTTGATCTTAATTCTATTAGTTATTTCTTTGTAAAATTAATCTAAATTAACTATAATTAACCCTTTATTTTCCTAATAAGATTGTAGATTAATTAAAGTTGTTAATTAGTTGATAATATAAATTCTATTTTCTTTATCTAAATGTCAATTATTTTATGACACGTCCCCACCGCTATCGAGAACAGTCCCTTGTTCTCAATTTCTTTCTTTTCTTACAGAAAAGGGGTTAGATTTGTTTTTGGATTGAATAATTATTGATTAGTTAAGATTATTGAAAGGTTGTAGTGAATTGATATCGGATGAACGTCGATGATCAATTGTGTTTTGCTTAGTATTTTGGTTGAGTGATCTCGGATGAACGTCGAGGATCCTCGTTGATTACTTTGTATTGCTATTTGGTAATTTTGTTTGTTATTTTGGTTATAAGGGAATCTCTAAATTAAATCACTACTAAAAAATTCGAAGGGATGATGTTTAAACTTTTCGTTCCGTTGTCCAATTTTTTTTACCGTTAGATTTCAATGAGACTGATCGATATTTGGAATATTTCTCTATCGGGTCAGTTTGTTTTTCAGGGTAATGGAAAATGACTTCTTTTGATCGTAATCCCAATTGACTGGTGAAGAAACTTTGCGAAATCGGTTCTTTTCATGATGTCTCTTTGTTTTCTTACGTTTTCTCGCGCTTTGGGTTAGACGGTTTTTGTTTGGTTTTTCGTTGATAATTCTCTTACGTTTAGTTAAATTCTGTTTAAAATTCAATTGTTTTCTTTGAGGTGGTTTTGTTATCTTGGGTGGTTCGTTGTTGATTCTTATTTTCTTAGTTTGACAGTCGATACTGATTTTAGCTTTTGAAAGAATGTCGTTACCAATGATGAACTTATTAGATTTAAGGTTTTCCATGATCAAGATGTCGTTATCAATCGTTAATGCTTATTGACCATCGTTAATTTTAAGGCTTGCTTGAGATTGGCCAATGATTTTGATTGGTTTTTCGTTAACATCGTATAATTCAGGTCCTTTGTAAGGTTCAATTGGCAGTTGTAATTCGTTGGCTAAAGGTAGAGTCAAAACTGATACACCAGAACCAGTATCTATTATTGCTTCAATTTTGTTTTCATCAATCTTTATTGGATGTTTGATTAATTGAATGGTGTTCTGAGGTGAAATTAAATTTATTTCAGGAGGTGAATTCGGATTATCGTTTTCTTCTAAGGTAATAGGACCGACATAAGTTTTAAAGGGCTCTTGGTTAGAGAAACTTGTGTGGGGTTTTGAGCTGCCAATCAATTTTTCGTCTTGATTTGGGTCGTTAGTATTTAAGTGTTGTGTGTGTTGGGGTAAAATTGGTTGAATTGGTTGTAGATTAGCAAAGTTTTGTGTTGGGATAAATGGTTGTAAATAAGAGACACGATTGTAATCCATCTGTAATTTTTTCGGACAATATTCTTCTGTGTGATTTTGGTCTCTGCAGTAATTGCAAGTTAGTTTGGGTTTTTGCTCTGAAAGATAGCTTATCTTATTTGTTAAATGATTGATTGTTTTCTGTAGCTTATGTACTGTTTCTAATATATTTGATTTATCAATCGGAGAAGGTTGATTGGAATTGGTTATTTGGTAAAAGTTAACCTGGCTACTAGCTCTTTCGGCTATTCTGCTAGCAGAAATATAATCATTGATTGTTTGTGGATTTTGAATTGCGATACCGTACTGAATTTGAGGAAGAAGTTTATCTCTAATCATTCCTATTATCATTGATTCGGGCATTTTGTCATCTATTTTTAAACAGAGATCTATCAGTTCGTAGATGAAATTGGAAGAAGGCTGGCCTGGCTGTTGTCTAAAGCTACTTAAACGAGTGGAGAGTTTAATTCTGTAATCTGGTGGACATAAGTTTTGAATAAGTCTAGTCTTAAGTTTCTGATAGTTATTAGGTTTTTCTGAAGAAGCAAAGGGTCCTGAAATAAACTGGTACCATCTTTTGGCACTCTGAGTTAAATAAAAGGGTAGGAATCTGAACATATCGTTTTCGTCCCAATTTAAAAGTTTCGCGTTAAATTCAAAGTTACTAATCCATTCAACAATGTCTTCTTGATCATTTTCACCACTGAATGGATTGGTTGTTGTAGGAACGTGTGGAAAGTTATTTGGGTAATTGACAGAATTAACATAAACATTAGGATAGTCAGAGTCCGACATAATTGGAATGGAATCAGAGTCTCGACACTGAGACATGTGATTAAAAAGGAAATTGCGAGGAGGTTGAATCAATCAGAGTCTCGACACTGAGACATATGATCAAAAAGGAAATTGAGACGAGGTTGAATTAATCAGAGTCTGGACACTGAGACATATGATTGGAAAAATTGAATTGAAACAATTGAAATTTTATTAGGAGTTAGAGATGGGTAGAAATTTATCAAAGGCTTACCAATATTTGAGACAGAATTTATTGAAAAATGAGTTGAAACGAAACGAAGAGAGTACCATCACTAGCCCTTCCTCATCGTGGGCTCCATTTGTAGTGATATTTATTTAGAGAATTGGGATTTGGACAATTGAATGTTGATTTAGTTGATTTAGTTGATTTAGTTGATTTAAATAACTTTATTATCATTTTACTTTTAATACATTTGACTTGAGGTTTTGTTTAAGAGAGGTGAGAGAAAAGGGTTTAGGAGAAGATAGAGAAAGGAACTAAGGTAGATCTCGACACTGAGATCCTTCCTTAGTTGAGTTGATAGAGAGAAGGAAAAGTTGGAAAAAAGGTGAATCTCAACACTGAGATTCTTCCTTTCATTGGAAGGGTTGAGAGGAGACTGAGGATGATTCTTCTTTCTCTCTGGGTTTTAATTTATACCTGAGAGAAAGAAGAAAATGAAAGAAGAAAAGAAAGAGAGATGCAAATCTTTAATCCTTGATCTTTACTTATTTTTCTTAATATTATCTAAATTTTTGATCTTAATTCTATTAGTTATTTCTTTGTAAAATTAATCTAAATTAACTATAATTAACCCTTTATTTTCCTAATAAGATTGTAGATTAATTAAAGTTGTTAATTAGTTGATAATATAAATTCTATTTTCTTTATCTAAATGTCAATTATTTTATGACAATTGTTAACTCAAATTAACAATAAGCAAGTAGATTAACTTACCTTCAATTGATTAACATCATTTAATTACAATTAAACTTTCATTTAAACCTAAATTGTGATTCATTTAAATTACTAAAACCAATAAATATCAACTGGTTATGGGCTCAGTGATGCTTAATAATTCAAGTGTTAACAATTTCGGTTTGGTTGAAATTTTCAACGGTAAGAATTTTGATGTTTGGAAATTCAAAATGATGAATTGTCTCAAACGGGAAGGTTTGTGGTCGGTTATTACTGGTGAAGAGGATACTGGTGATCAACGAAATGTTAATCTATTTCAGAGACGTAATGAAAAAGCTCTTGGTTTACTTTGCTGTTGTGTTGGAGCAAAATATATTTGTCTAATTAAAGAAGCAACAAGTGCTAAGGAAGTTTGGAATATTATGATTAGAACTTTTGAACGTAAAGACTTGGCGAGAAAAATGATTATTAAACAGAAATTGGCGAAATTTACAATCAAGGTAAATCAACCAATAATTGATTCCATTTCCGAATTGGAAAAGTTGTGGTCAGAATTAGCTCAAAATGGAGATCAAATCACTGATAGTGATAAGGTGATCGAGTTATTGAGTAAACTACCTGATGATTATAAGCATTTTGTCTCAGCCATTCGAGTCTCTTTGGATGTAATTAAATTTGATGATTTACTCGCAAGATTATTACAAGAAGAGGATCATATCAAGAGGGATTCTAATGATTGTGATGAATCTGCTTTGGTGGTTAAAGGTAAAGGTAAATTTAAAAATCTCAAAAATGTTACATGTTTCGAGTGTAATGAGAAAGGTCATTTCAAACGAAATTGTCCAAACCTAAAGGGCAAAGGTAAAACTGATTGGACAAATTTTAAGAAAAACAAAGATCAGAAAAATGAAAAGGATAAAGTTTTGACTCTAATTAATGGTAATAATGATAATATGAATTGGGTTGTTGACTCTGGTGCTTCCAATCATATGAGTTGGAACAAAAATTGGTTCATCAATTATTTGGAAACTAAAGGTAAACAAGTTACTCAAGGCGATGGAACTTTTATCGATGTTCATGGTATTGGTGATATTTGGTTAAAATCTGAAAATGGAATGAATTTCATGCTAAAAAATGTTTATCATGTTCCCAAATTAGCTATTAATTTGTTTTCTTTAGGACAGGCTGAAGATAAAGGAGCTAATTGTTTATTCGCAAATAATCAATTCAAAGTTTATCTTAACAATGAGTTAATTGTTAGTGGTCAACGAAAAGGAAAATTGTATTATCTTGATGCTTGTTTCATCGATGAAATTGAAAAAGATAATTTGCTCAATGTTGACGATAAAACTGAAGAGAGAGAAAAAGTTATCATTTCTAAACGAAATGATGATAACATTAACCTCTGGCACTTGAGATATGGTCATCTCAATTATGACAACATGATAAAAATGGTTAATGATCAACAAGTTACTGGTATTGATATCAAAGGTGAACGAAGTGAAATTTGTAAAGGTTGTTTGAAGGGTAAAATGACCAAGACTAAATATCCTGGACGAACTCAAGTTAAAACTGATTCAGTATTAGATTTGATTCACTCAGATATTTGTGGTCCAATTAGATTAGCTTCATTTTCTGGTTGTCGATATTTCGTTACATTCATCGACGACTTTACCAATTGGGTCAAAGTTATTCCGGTAACAAATCGAAATGAAATATTCAAAGAATATAAGAAATATGAAGCTGAAGTTACAAATTTACATGGAAAATCAATCAAAATATTTCGAACTGATAATGGTCGTGAATATTTATCAACAGAATTTGAAAATCATCTTAAAGAAAAAGGTACAAAACATGAAACGATTGTATCATATTCACATGAGCAAAATGGTGTAGCCGAAAGAATGAATAGAACAATAAGAGAAATGGCTTGTTCTATGCTACATCAAGCTGAACTACCACTCGAATTTTGGGCTGAAGCTGTAGTTACAGCTGGTTACCTGAGAAATCGGTGTCCCTCCAAAGCCATCGAAGGTATGACTCCTTTCGAGCGATGGAAAGGACGAAAACCAAATGTCCAACATCTTCGAGTATTTGGTTGTAAAGCTTATGTTTTAGTACCGAAAGAAACTAAGATCAAAATCGAAGCTAAAAGTGAAGAAACTATTTTCGTTGGTTACGCTTCTGATAAAAAGGCTTATCGGCTTATAAAGTTAGCCGATAACAAGGTTATTTATGGTCGTCATGTTAAATTTGATGAAAAATTGATCTTATTGAAACAAAATGATTCGGTAACTAATACCATTAATTTGATTGAAGAAGATGATGAAAATAATGGTGAAGATGCAAATGAAAACGATAGTCGTCAAGATGATGATGATGGAATTGAAAATTCATTTTTAACTTTAAATAACGAACCTGAAGATTACAATGAAGCAATCAATTCAACTGATTCAAACTCATGGTTAAAAGCTATTCACGATGAGTATCAATCACTCATTAATGCTGGTACTTGGGAATTGGTAAAACGACCTGAGAAATGTAATGTAATCAAAAATAAATGGGTATTTAAAATCAAATCTGATACAACTGGTGATCGGCAATTCAAAGCAAGATTAGTTGCTAAAGGTTTCACACAAGTAAGAGGAAGAGATTATTTCGAAACTTTTGCTCCAGTGGCAAAATTTACGACACTTCGATTATTAGTCTCGTTTACTGTGAAATTTGGGTACAAAATTAATCAAATGGACGTCAAAACTGCTTACCTTAACGGTAATGTAAATGAGCAAATCTTTATGGAACAACCTGAAGGGTTTGTTAAAGATAAAGATTATGTCTGTGAACTGAAACGGAGTTTGTATGGATTGAAACAATCTGGACGTTCATGGAATAATCTATTCAATGATTTCATGAAAGAAATTGAATTTATTCGAGTTCAATCTGATAACTGTTTATATTTCAAAAATGATCATGATCAACGTATTTATGTATTGATTTACGTTGACGACTTATTGATTTTCGCTAAGTCACAAGAACAAATTAATTTGGTCAAAGATAAACTGAAGGCAAGATTCATGATGAAAGATCTTGGAAAAGTAAAATCATTTTTGGGTATTGAGTTTGAATTTGGTGAAAATGATGAAACAATTATACTTAAACAATCAAAGTATATAAGAGAAATTATTGATCGTTATCACATGACTAATTGTAAACCATTTTCAACCCCATTCGATTGTTCAACTAAATTACAATCGGTAACTAATGAAAAGGTAGACAAAAATTTACCTTATTCAAGTGCCGTTGGTGCTTTGATTTATTTATCGACATGTACACGACCTGATATTACCTTTTCAGTGGGAGTTGTTAGTCAATTCATGACTAATCATGAACAATCACATTGGAATTGTGTTAAACGAATCTATCGGTACTTGAAGGGAACCATTGATTATGGATTATTATTTAATAAAATGATAATAATGTCCTGGTTGGTTATTCAGATGCTGATTTTGCTTCATCATGTATTGATAGAAAGAGTATCTCTGGATCGACAATATTTAACTTTGGTAATCTAATTTCGTGGTCAAGTAAAAAGCAAACATCAGTTTCGTTATCAACAGCGGAAGCTGAATATATTGCTCTTACTAATTGTACCAAGGAAATTCTGTGGTTAAGGTCATTATTACAAGAACTTTCATTTGATATGAGTGATTCGACATTGATAAATGAAGATAATCAGTGTGCGATTGCCCTGAGTAAAGATCCCGTTTCACAATCAAGATCGAAACACATCGATGTGAAATATCATTTCATTAGAGAGAAGGTTGCTCAGAAAGTAATCAATGTCAATTATCTATCAACTGATTTAATGATCGCAGACATCATGACAAAACCATTACCAAGAGAAAAGTTTGAAAATTTTAGATCAAAATGAAAATCGTAAATAATAATTGAGTGGGAGAATTGGTTGAGTTCAATTATTATGCTTACTTTCCTGGAAAGTTACATTGATTTTCTTAGAAAAGCAATAGTAAAATTACCTTATAAATGGTCAAATTGTTTATTGATTATTAAAGTTGCTAATTAAGGGATAATTAAGTTGTTTTCTGTTTAACTAAATTAAACAACAATTAGTTGATTGTTGTCAACCTTAATTTACCATTCTCTTATTTGGTCAATTATCAAATCCCTTAAATTGGTATAAATTGTTAACTCAAATTAACAATAATCAAGTAGATTAACTTACCTTCAATTGATTAACATCATTTAATTACAATTAAACTTTCATTTAAACCTAAATTGTGATTCATTTAAATTACTAAAACCAATAAATATCAACTAACATAATGAAACATTGGATAATTATTGATATAAATCAACAAATGAATATTAAAAATTGATTGATTAAGGAAATTAACTTGATCAAAATGATTAAATTAACTTAATTGTATCTATAGAATTCATTTATTAATACTTACATGATTATCTGGGATATTGGTGTTGAAAAATAATTGTTTAATTGTTACATTTACCTCATGTTGTGTGTTCAGATTCACATGAAAGCTGAAAATTTAATTAAACAATTAGTTGATTAGATGAATTAATTAGCAATTTGAAATATTGATTAATTATTTAATCTACTAATTAATCAATAGTTTTTCTTAGTATCTTTGTTATTTTGCTTTTGCTCATTGTTTACAACTGCTGTTGATTGATTAAGTAAACTTAATCTTTTATCCCCTAATAAAGTTGATTTAATTTAATTAACTATTTTTCCACATTAATTTAGGCCAATGATTAATTAATTTGGATTTCGTTTTATATAATTAAATTAGGTTATAACATCTTAAAGATTGATCAACAAAGGTAAATGTTGTTGTTGTTGTTGACGTTAATTTGTTTTCAAGTTAATTCGTGTTTAATTGACCAACACACACAATTATCACAATTTAAGGTTATATTGTTTGTTGATTAATTGATTTACAAACAGTTTAATTATAATACATTATTAATCCTTAATTGTTACAGTTTCAGTTGATTACTTTCTCCAATTCTTGTTCCCAAATTTTTTCCTCTTCTCGAAATTTTTTCTTCTCAATCTCTCTGTTCAATATTAAGATAGAATAAGATTATTGTAATTAATTAGTCATTAATCTCATAAACATTTAATCAGTTGATTAACTTACTTTTCTCTGTTGAAAATGATAAATTGTTGATCAATCGTTTGGAGACATTTTTTAATTGGACTATTTTCGTCAAGAAGAGAGCCGGAATCAGAGAATGATGAACTATTCTGATGATTAAGATGGTGATTTCCATGATGATTAGAGTGATTTTTTTTGGAACTTTGTCTTTTAGATAATCGTTTCTTTTTCTTATGAAGTGGCCTGGCCTCGATTATCATCTCCTCCAATTCAAAGGTTGGATCACAATTGAGCTGATCTTTAGGAGGGACAAAAGGAGGTGAACTCAGTTTACCAAATATTTCATTGAAGTTGGTTTTGGCACAATAATCAGCTGACCTAAGGTTATCCAAAGAGGCGATACGTTTACTTGGCTCGTAAGTTAACAACGATCCTAAAAGGCTTAAAAACCCCGAACTGACCGATGTACCCTCAAGGCTAGGCCAAGGTTTACGTTGCAGGTCTAGTACCTTTTCTAGGTTAGTTGTCGAGTGTATATCATACGGACGGGAACCGGAAATCATCTCATAAACGCAAACACCAAGTGACCACCAATCAGCCTCAAAAGAGTAACCAGTGCGCCGGTCAAGAGCACATTCAAAAACTTCTGGAGCTATGGAAAAACATATACGAGAATAAGAATCATTAATTGTTTCATGATTATTAACATTTCTAATTATTTCAATTACTATAGTGACACAATTTCAATAACTGTTGTCAATAAAAAAATCATTATGAATATGAAATGAGCCTCTATCTATGATTATTGAACCGTTTTTTTCTGTTACTTTACACACTCAATTACCCGGAGGGTTTAAAATTAAAATAATTGAAATTGAAATTGAAAGACTATTATAGTTAATCATTTACCATTCATGATTATTATCAAAGTTTACTCGATAGTTAACAAAAGGTTATCATTTTTCTAGAATTTGTAATATTTACATCTTTTGTTATCTTCATGATGATCACATCATTACTAATGTTAGTGAAGAAAAAGAAGAAGATGATGATGATATGAAGCATTTATACCAACCAGAACTTTTATATCGATTTCTCTGTCTTTATCTATCCATCTCTTTCTCTTCACCTCCCAGAGACATTTCTCAAATTCTGAGTATTCCTGAGTTATCTCTCTGATCACAGTAGGTTATCAAATTTACAAGTTAACCTTTATCTCCTTTATCATCCATCTTCTTCCTGATCATTGAATCTTTACCTACTTTATCATCCTCTTTCTCTCTCGTATTTCACTTGATCTTCTTTAACCAGTCAATTAACTGTCAGATCATCTGTAGGATACAAGATGTATCTCTTTTTTTGCTTCTGGGTTTCATCATATTCACTTCTTTACAGGTTTTCTTTTGCAAATCTTTTACTTGTTCAAAGGTTTTCAGGTTCATTTTAGGATCAGAATCAAGGTATTCTCACCATACCTAATAGATAGTTCAGTTTGTTACCTGTGAAAACTTATCATCATTTATTATTAGCATACAGCTGACACTTACTCGTGAGTTTGTTCATAAGGAATCATGGGAATCAACCTCACTCTAGTAAAATGTTAACCTGTTATGTACGTTGAAAGAGAGTCGATGAGATGTTGATGATAACCTAAAATTTTGCAAGAAAAAATGATGATAACAAGATGCTGAGAAGAAAGATCATCATTCTAATAGTGAATGGTTTAGAGATGATGAAGATAAAGAACAAAAAAATATATGATGCAAGAATTGAAAAGACAAAAGTTCCTTGTCAATTTATGTCTTGAAGGAAATTTTCTTGTTATCTTTTTGTCTTGTGAATTTGAACCTCTTATTCCCAGAATTTAGTGCAAGTGAAATGAAAGAAAAGAAACAAAAAAGAGATTTTTTTCTCTCTATTTAGAATACAATGGATCAAGGAGAACGTATTAATCTGTTATTCAGAAGCATCATGACAGAAGAAATAAAGTCTCAATTGGAATTTCCAGAATAAGTTGAAAACCCAGAGAAACAACAGAATCAGATGAGAGCATTGGCTTAGAAATATATAAATTTGATAAGTTATTAGAAATGAGTTGGTGGATCTATTTCCAAATTTGTACTGAAGTTATCATGAAAAATTCAGTTCAATATCTATCATTCAAACTATTGTGTGTGTGTATTATTCATGAATAGCTCAGAATAAATGAAATTTTTATCCTCAACTATTATTATATTAGCCTGATTGAAAATTCATGCTCATTACCTTTCAAGTGATTATATTGAATTTATAATCTTACCTGTAACAACTCATGAATACAATTCAGATTAACTTACTATCTCTTAAATAATCATACAGAATGATCATTACTTTTGATTACAGTTAGAGAGAGAGAGAGAGAGAGAGAGAGAGAGAGAGAGAGAGAGAGAGAGAGAGAAACTAATGTTGATATACTGAAGATGGTGGTGACAGTGGCTTTTGCATCGTTAATCATCAATTGAGTCTCTTTTCCTGAGTAATTATCTCATGATAATTAAATAGCGATTCAGTGATTATAATCTTTACCCTAATCCTTTTACTAATGAGCATTTTCCTTGTCTATTCATTAGATTGTTTAATGTTGATCAGTCTTTTGTCTCAATTCATATCTACACAGAACCATCAACACATACTCTAGATTTTGATAAAAAAAAACCCAATCTAGTTCATTCTTGATATCATCTTTATCTTACAAAGTCTTAACGGATTAACTAACAAGAGTATCATCATTATCATTATCATCAGAAAGATGATAAAAATCATCAGTGTCAGAGAACAATCAACATGATGAGACTGAAAAAGCAAATGAGGAAGAGAAAATCTTTGATCTATTTAATCTTCTTACAAAAATACTTTCTGGTTCTCTCTTTTTTATCATCACCATTACGTTGAGTTTTTCATCATCATCATGATCATCGTTTTCTACTTTATTTTGAAATAAAAGAGTAAAAATGACCAGAACTTGTACAAATACTTCCTGGAGCAATTTGTTTCACTTGATATGATGACAATTTGTTCAACTGTTCAATTTTTTCCCTTGATTCTAAATCACATTTATCATGACATAATAATAAATGTTTCCACTCACCAATATAAGGCTTGGTTCCTGACATTGAATTGGCTTCTGTGCCATCTTTAAGCTCAATTGCAATATTAAAATCCGTTAGATGAACATGTCCCTCTTCATCCAGTAAAATATTGTCCGGTTTAATGTCCCTAATAGAAGAGAAAATCAATGGTCAGTGAGATATGATTAATTCATGATAAATTGTTAATATCAAAAAGTTTCACTATTCCATATAAATAATTGACAGAGTAATAAATTTTAATCTAATCAAGATGAAAGAATTCAAGTGAAAATTTTGTTCAGTGTCATATCCTAATCAATTTCATTTCTCCCTCATGGTGATATCTTTTTTTACCACCAGAATTTGTAGCAACTATCATCATCTTTTGGTGAATCACTTTAAAAATGTTTACCTTTTCAATTTGAGGTTTTATAATGTTTTTTTTTCTCACTGTTACTTATCCAGTTTCATTGAGTTTCAGATAAAGGTGATGATGAACATGATAAAATAGTGAGAAGGAAAAAAAGTTAAGGTTAAATGACAGGGATGTGTAGGTGTTGATACTTGATATATTTATTTGGTCAAGATGAAGTTGATAACTGTTGTCAATTGATGTCTTTTTTTTACTTCATTCACAAGTCAGATAATCATTTAAGGTGATCTCATGAGCCTTCAAGAAGTTACCAGATTTTCATGGTTATAAAACTATGAATATAATGATATGTCGGAGTGAAAAACTCCAAAGTTTTTTTCTGTTCTCATGGATTTGATATACTATTTTGATATAAATGCATGATTATTAAGGATTATGAGGATTAATTCAGTGTAAACAAAAATATAACCAAAATTCAAATGGTTTTGAGAAGGAAAATGAATGGAAAAATTTACATGATTGTCTGTTTATCTTTTTCAAGAATATTTTTTTTTCTGATATTCCATTTGAATTGATTGCTGATTCATGATGATGTTAATCATATTTGATTAGCTGATTCTTGCTTATGATAAATGAAAACCTTATCATATTTAATATCTTGAGCTGCTTATTATTATTATTGGCGTAAGAGATAAACCTTCAAGACACTCCCAGAGAGCTGTGAGTAAAATATGATTATGATAAGAGTCCAATTGAAAGGATAGTCCAATCTTGAAGATTGAATCTTCCATGATGATGATAATCACTTTTAACATGATGATAAGAATGAAGAAGAAAATATAAGTATAGTGAGTTTCTTAACATCTTATTCTCAGGTAATCTCGAAATGTTCAATTTATTTTTTGCTCACTGATTATTATTACCTTTATTTAGGTAAATGTAAACTTGTAGAAAATCAATAAAATTTGAAAATAGGTGAATGGAATTGATTAATATCATGTTGGTGATGATCAACAACTAGAAGATTATCATCATTATCATGCTGTGAGAAAAAATTAATCGATTCCAATATAAAAATTATTTTCTTCTTTCTATTAACTCAACTGATCTTATTATCTTCCCTTATTAATATTACTATTAAGTAAATATTAAGAAAGTTGTTGAGAGAGAGAGAGAGAGAAGAAAATCTTATTTTTCCTTTACGTTGAATTATATTCTCCGAATCCAATGATTTTACTTAATTCATGTATTGGTAATTTCATGATGAAAGTAACTTTCCCTCAGAACTTTTTTCCATTATCTTTGATTCAATATACAGAATCAAAACAAATTATCAACTCGGTAAAATAAGTTATCTATCTTATTGATTTTCCATGATTTTTGAATCTATTTTTTTCTCACAGGAATTTCAAGTTGTTTACAAACTGAATTAATTACAGACTAAATTACAAAAGGAGTAACAATTCTGTTGGTAGTACATATCAATTTCATCATTTTTCTACTCTACAGTTGGTATTGATAGAGATGAACAATGGTTACTAAAAGGAACACTTTGTATCGATATGCTAATGGTACAAAAATAAGAAAGAGAAATGATTTACAGAATTGAGAAGAGAAATTATCATATTGATTGAATTTGAAAATAGTGAAAAAAAAAGTAGAAAACTTATCCACATCAGAGGGCGAAAATGATTTAAACGATAATCTTACCTGTGAAGAATGAATTTAGAGTGAAGATAATCCAATGCTAATGATATTTCACATAGATAAAAATAAACTCTCTCTTCTGGAAAACAGTCTTCTTGTTGTAAATGGTATCTAAGGTCACCTCCAAGTAGTAGATCGACAACCATGAATATATCTTCTTCATCCTGAAAAATCGGGAAAATTGAATAAAAGATCAACAGATGAACATGTAAGAACATATTATGAAATAGTTACATAATTGGAAACAATAAATAAGACAGTAAAATTGATATATTAATGAGCCTCAATGAATATTTTATGCTAACAGTTTAGTGGCAATTAAGTTGATTGTTTATCTTGTTCATTGGTTTGGTAGGTACACAATCAGCCATGTCTTTTTACCTTAAATAAATAAGAATTTATCTCGTCTCGTCTCTCTCTCTCTCTCTCTCTCTCTCTCTCTCTCTCTCTCTCTCTCTCTCTCTCTTCACATACGTACATACATTCAAACAATCTGAAAATTTCTGAGGTTACATGATGATCATAATGTAATTCTAAGATTGTTAAGTTTCCATGAGCAATTAAAGGTTAAGTTTGAATGAGAGAAAATGGATACAATTGATTATTGTTCATTATGGTTCATTTCAGGTGAAAATCTATGGTGATAAAATTTGTTTTCTTATCAACCAGGAAGAGGAAGATAAATAAATGTAAGGGTAAAATCAATTGGAAGGAAATGTTTTTCTTATTCTTCATTTTTCCTTCAATTTCTTTGAATATAAGTAGACAATCAGTAATAGTATTTTATGTCTTGAGGCTTCATGAATGTTCATCATGATTTCATGTCTTTTTACGAATCATTTTTCTTTCATTTCTTTCGTTTCCTTCAATATCTTTACAAATAATGAAAAGGTTAAACACAATAATATTATGGGAGTGGAAATAAAGATAAATAGAAATATTAATAATAATTCATATTTCGAATCAGAGAAAAATATCTATCATCAAATTCATTTCAAGTTTGTTATGCCGTGATGCTTTTTAATTCTGGGATTAATCTGAGGCTGGATAAGTTTAGAGAAAGAGATTATATTTCAATATGAATGGATGATCATAATTCATGGATTAATAGTAGCTGGTTAGGTTTTTGCTCAGCTATTTTTTTCTCCATGTTGACTAATGATTTTGACCTTATTCTTGCTGATTATTATTACGCTGAACTAATCATCATTGTCACTATGGTCATCATCATCATCTCAGGATCAAGTTAATGGATATTTTATTGAATCACAAGTTCTCATGATAATGATGATTATAAATCATTGACTATTCTTGTTGTTGAAATAATTGTTATACTTATATACTGGGAATGATGAAGATAAAGTTATTAAAGCGTTAAATTGAACTTCTTATGTATTTTATATTATTGGCCTGACAGTGGACAACAAGCTAAGTGTTGGTCAAGATATTTGGACCATAATGATAAGATAACACTAAAAGATGATGATGATTAAGATAAATATTGTCAACATCATCAAAATTATCATTTTCTGGATTTTATCATCGAGACAAAAATAAAGAGAGAAAGAGAGATTCTGATGATGATTATCATAATGATGATAATGTAACTCATCATGCATTCTTAGAATTCTATCAAGAAAATCCAATCTATCCTGAATTATATCTTTCATTTAGCATGTTAGTTTTTTTCTAGTTACTTTTATCCCTTTTTCATCATTATAACTATTATAATACTAGTATTATCAATAAGTTTATTTTATTAGATATAATATTATGTTGCTTCAATTGGTTGATCAACTGTAAATCAATTTCCGTTTCAATGATGTTCAATGATGTTGATCATGTCGAATTAATCAAAATCAACAAATGATGATTAACTTGATTCTTTCTCTTTCAGTAAATGATAGTTTCTCAGGAGATAGAAAATCACCGAAAAACAGGAGAGCTCATGGGGAGTTGGAATAAAAAATCGTTTCTTGTTCTTCTTATATTTCTGGCTATTGAAAAATACGTCAAAACAGAGTATTAAATAAAATTTTATAATCTCTTCGGTATCATCTTCAATTCAAATGATATGAGAGATGAAAAATGTTCTGATGATGAATATTGAAGATCTGATTCTATTTAGCAAAAAGTTTGAGGGATAAACAGAACACGAACATGATCATCTTTATTGTTTTTTTCTTCTTCTGTATATTCATAAGTGTCACGAAAGTATAGTGACGAGCCTCGCTAATAAAATAAACTGAGACCCCTTTGATTAATTTTCAAAGAAAATCTAATCTTTTTATTTTATTGGTATTTCTTATATACTACAATTATTATCTATAATCTAAATAATTAAAGGTTAATTAGTATTTGTTGGGGAATTTTAATTAATTAATCTAGGTGATTAGCTTTATCTTTCGTTTATTAGATTAGTCTAGAGGTGAATCAAATGTCAATCTAGTGATAAACTCGTTGGTTTCATTATTTTGCTACAATAAGAAAAGCTTATCAATATGACAAAGAGAGAAATTGGTATTAAAATGATAGAAAATCTTATTTCTATCAATAAACATGATCAAGTAGATCTTGTTATCATGATTATTTCCACCCTTCTCTTATTGGGTATATTGAATTCAGGTTACAGTTTTCTGGGTAACCTTAATAACTCTGTTGGCTCTCAATCATTAATATACAATCATAACTTCAATGAAAATGTTTGTTTTCATCATATTTTTTTTATTATCATCATAAAATCCTAGGTTTCACACTTGAATTGAATATGATGATGAGAATGAAAATTATATTGGAAAAAAAGGTTGGAAATTTTTTTCCTTCAATTTATTGAGTTTCTATTAGATTTCAAGAACTTTTTTTTCAATCGACTTAATTTTATGAACTTATATATCTTTTCGCGAGTCAATACAGAGATTAACAGGTAATCCTATTTATGTCCGAAATTTTTTTTCATCATAATCATGGTGGCTTTACAATCATCTTCTTAGTTTTCTCGGTGAGTTTGATTCTGATTAAATTTGAAATTGTTCATTGAACTTCAATTCGTTCATCATAATAACACCGTGAGTGATAACAATCATGATTATGATATTTTTTTCAAAGATAATAACTCTTCAAGTATCGAGAGATTGATCCAGATTTTTATAGACGAGATAATCAAAATTTCAAATAGAGTAAAATTTTAGCAACTTTTCTTGAAACATTTACATCAGTCACAACGGAATCATGGTGGAAATTGCATCAGATAAAAAATTAACAGACACTGACTATTTCTGATAGAATTTTTTATTTTAATTAAATTTTATGCTCTTGTTAATGTAAATTGAATTACAATTGACCTTATTTATTAGGGAGTTACAAGGAGTTAATGATCATGATGTATACTCACAATAGTTTTGTTATTGATAAACAGTCACTTTGAGTAACATTAAAATCGTTAGTTTGGTTTTATTGTTAATAAATGGTAATTGTTGATAGTATTTCTTTTGATTGATTATTACTATCATCAGAATATCAACTGAGGTTAGAATCAATGCTTATCTCATATAAAGTATGTAGCTAACCAAGAGGAAGCCTTAATCATTAAGCTGATCATTTATTAGATAGTAAAATGTTCAATTGTATTATTATTGGAATGGTTGGTTAATCAATCAACCAAAGCAATGATTACAATCGAAAAATATGAAAATGCTACAAATCAAAATAAATCACCATGAATGGTGTTGATTGTTAGATAGTTTGTTGAATTACATGCAACAGAAAATCAATGATTGAAGGGAATGGTAAAAGTTCAATTAAAAACTCAAGTTCAATTCAAGGGAAGGGGATTAGGTTTAAATTGGACTGATTGTAACATAAATTTTGTTAATACATATTCATATAAAATCTTGCATTGAATTTTATATTTTCATGGTTGATTCTAATTCATGTTTGTAATTTTCAAAGTGCATTTAGTTAAATTACTGATCACCATTAAAATTAATTTTATTAATAAAACTAATCAAGAGTGGAATCAAATGATTGGTGTGAGATGAATCAAAGCATTGATACATTAAGAGCATTCAAGTGATTTTCTCATGATTGTCATTGAACAATCCGAATCTATTTGCAGAGTAGCAACCTAATTATGGAGCAGTTTTTTAATGATACATTATGATTGTAATACAATTACGGGATTCAATCAAGTAATTGGGTTGAGTTATCACAAAAAAACTGAAAATTAGCTCTTGAAAAATACTCAGACTCAAGTGATAATTGGTGTTCTTCATGAGGAAAAAGTTTGTGCTGAAAGTTTTCACGGGCTTAGGAAGATAATTGGTTTGAATTGTTGATTGCGTTGAGAAATTACTAATTATAATATACGATTTGAATGTTTTTCTTTCAGTCTATCATCAGAAATGTTATCAATGTATTGAAAAAGGATATTAAGCAGTCGAAACTGCTCTAATTCATACCATTAGATTATTCAAATAATGGTGATAATATTCATGGAAAAAGTTTATCATCAATAAACTTGCATTGGACTTTCATGGAGATAAATTCAGGGCTCATGGTAATGAGTGTATTAGACTAAGAACAATTTGAGCTTCATTAGCATTTATAATCAAAATATTATTCAAATCTAAATCAACATGAGCAATATCATGTGAAATTGAGTTTTTGCTTCTTCATCATCTTGTTACTTTTTTTCTGAACGAGAATTTCAAGAAAAATGTTATATCCTTTGAATAATGTCAATGCTTTGGGATGATTTTATTCTTAATTATCTGATAACTTATTTTCACGAATTTTATCTCAATTCATTTCAGTTCATCGTCATGTTAAACTAAGTTATTATCATGAATAATCTAGATTCTTAATACAGATGCTGCAAGAAAAAGTTAATTTGATTTGATTGTTGAAGATGATGAAAAAGTGAGAGGAAGACTTCATGATGAACAAAGTTGTTGTGTAATAATAGGAAGCCAGGCAGGGAAACCAAGATAGTGAAAACGATGAATTAAGGTGACAATTTCGGTTGAGAAATGATAGTTTTTCATGATAATATCTAGTAGTAAATTGAAACTAAGGATAATGATTATCTAGATATAAAAGTAATTATTTGTTGACAGTATGTGTCAAACAATAGGCTAATATGACAACAATAGATGACTAAATATATAATTAACAAGTTAGTTGATTATGATAATTAATTTCATCAACATTTGATAAACATTTTGATTGTTTGTCGATAATAAGAAAGATTAATTATTTGCAAGTATTAATAATAAATGTTGTCTATTCTTCAATCATGATGAACAAAAAATAACATGATGATCATAATGTTACAATTTAATACATTTATCATTTAAATTGGAAATGTCAACCTGATTAAGTTATAATCTAATCTGTATAATCAAATTAAGTTTAACATTTGATTATGATGGGATTATGAAAGTCAACAAGTGAATGTAATTAAAAGAGACAATGTATGTATTCAGTTATGAATACATGTTTCAGGTTTCACAATTATGGAACATGATGAAGCGAGAGAAAAAAAAAGTTCTGTTTCATTTGAATAGAAAACAAAATTGGAAATATGAACAATCCATATTGAGAATATAAACTAATATCATAATAGATGGAAAAGTATATTCAATAAATTGTATTTCATTTTCTATGGAAAAATAAAATATATTCCAGAACAGAATTACCTTTCTCTTCAGGTTATCTGATCCACATGAAAGAACTTTTCAAACTTTTGGTGAATTTTCCAGAAATAATCATCAAAATAATAATAGAATGAACCTTTAAACACACAGGGTTATTACGAGACAAATGTAATACAAGGTAATATTCAATAGACGAAAGGATATTCAGATGCTATCTGATTGATTTACAATCAAATGATGATGAAATTACATAGGTGATTAAATATTAAATCTTACCTGAAATGTGAACCATAATTTAACGATAAATGGATGTTCTAATCGAGTTAACAATTGGATCTCTCGAAGCACATTGGCAAATGCATCCTTTTGAATACAAAGGTTTTTACTCATGTATTTCATTGCATACATTTTCTTGGTATTACGTTTCTGGATTATGCAAACCTATGGGGATTAGTGAGAAGAAGAGAAAAATTAAAATCATTAGAATGTCTAATCAAGTATTAATACATGAGATTGATAAGATATATTTTCAATGTGACTGATTTGAAACTTTCAATTTAATCAGCTGATTGTTCACAGGTGATAAAAATTCATCAAAATGGTTTCACTTTAGATTTTATATAATATTATTAATATTAATAATATTATTTGTTTCAACGTATGGAAATCATGGTTGTTGAAATGATAGTTTTAAACTAAATCTCAATTGATTTAGTTGCTTTCATGTATAATATGAGGAAATTTTCATTGTTTATTGAGTTTATGGTTCAGTTCGTGTTTTTTATTATTCTCATAATCACCATTTAGGCTGAGAGCTTAAAAATGATAATAATTTAGTTAATAATCAAACAGTGTTTTCATATAAAAAAATTACACAATTTTACTTATTCAGATCAACTGTTTATATCATTAAGCTAATGAATATTATAAACTTGAATGAGCATAAGTGAAAAGAGAAGTAAAATATTTAATCCCAATTAACTCTTATCTCTCACAATCAAACGTTCAATATTTAATAATTGAATCAATATTTTATTCAATTAGTGAGTGAATACTATTTACAAGAAATCATAATTGGCTGTTATTTACATCTAACAGTAAATTAGGTTTATCTCTATTTATGATGATTAACGATTACCATCAACTAGGCCTCAGGAATCTTTTACTTCTCATCAAGTCATTATTTTTATTGAATTGTATGAGTTTTGATGATCATCATTGATTATTATCTATCAATGATTACTCACTGAAATTGTGATTACTTTTTTTCTCCTTCATTATTTATCTCGTTAGATTTGCTTTACTATAAGGTACTTACAATATGGTAACTTTGCAATTTCTAATTGCTATAAGTTCATTAATGAAAAACTTTTATTTGTCTATTTCAGTAATATTAACAAGGATTTAACTATTATCTTCATTCGTCATCATGATGAGAAACGTTCAGCTTGTCAAACGGAAATTCAAAAGGAGGTTTAAAAGGAAATTGAATCAAAAGTTGATTAGATTTCTACACAATCTGCTTTTCTCTTCCTCATGATTTACCTTTCATAGTAGAAAAGGTGAAGAGAATAAGAGAACAGAATGAAAAAAGAGTTCATTCCATTTATTCTGAGTTCTGAGAGAAAGTAATTCAAAAGGTCTGGAATCAAGAATCATTCAGATTTATGTAATAATTTAAAACAATTCAAAACTTGAAAATCCTTCAACAAATTCAATTACTGTTAAATTTTTATCGGAAGGAAAACTAACTCATGATAATTGCCATGGTTGTATCATGGAATCAGTTCAGAATAATGTTTACAGAGTTTAACAAAAGTAACAACATTTACATGTATTATCAATTACATTATATTTCCTGAATAATTTCATGAAATAATTTTTTTCTTCTTGATAATTATACAATCACAGGTCCATTAGTTGACTAATATGTTTTGTTATCAATTATCTACAACTAGTTTCATGTTAGTTTTTGATTCATGATTAGCTTTTAATCATGGAAGACAAAAAAAAAGATGATGATTGACAAAAGGGTTATGTGTTTCATGTTTAACCATAGGAGAAAAGTCAAAAGACAAGTGATAGTATTTATCAAATAGATGTTCCTGTTTGATATTATATTATCCTAAAGCTAATTAGAGAGTTTGATGATGTTTCATAATGGTGATTATCATGAAGGATTCATTTTCTGTCAACAAATTGAAAAGATTTCTACAAGGAGTATAAAAAATATTATCATCTAATATTTGTTTACGATTGGATTGTCGCATCATCATCGTAATCATTATCTTACTCTGATGAAATCATCAAGTTAATGAAAAAATATGCTATTTATAATACTAATGATGAAACTGATGAGCTTACATGGAAACAGATGAATAGATTCAATAGATCAGGATGTGGTCTTCATCATGTAAATCATCATGATAATGAAAATAAAAGTGATGATAATGATCTTGATGATAGTAATGATAATAAATAATGTTTGTAATAAAGTAATAGTAAACCATAGCTATAGATGTAATTTATGTAATAGAAAAACAAGAAAAATGTTGATAATGATGGTTAGGATGAATTAACAAGAAATCCTCTTTGATCGTGTTGTTTTCATGGGGATTAAACATTGTTTTTAGATTTTCTCAATGGAAACATGATAAAATGATTACAGTATTTATTAATAGAGGTTTATTTTACTTTTAGACTCTCCGTAAGTGTAGATGATAGTACCCATGCCAATCAAATTTAACCAGCATTTTAAAACATTGAGACTGGTTATCCTAATTCTTGAGTGTTCAATTAAATTCGTATTGAAAAACATTGATAAAAATTGTATCAGGTTGCTGATTTACTAGATCAATTGTATTATAATTTATAACCTGATGGACACACAAACAATTAACCTATTAATATAACTGATTGACCTTTAGACTGGCCATTAGATGCTCAACAAGAGATATTATTTATTGGAAATTATCATTGTGAACAGTTTTAAGCATAATCGTCACATATTGTACTTGATTCATAATTCACCTTTAATTATCTTTCATATTTCTCAACAATTAACTTAACTGTGATTGTTTATTGAAGGTCAAATTATGTACAAGCTGAGTAAACTGATTTATAAAATTTTTCAATTGCATAGATAAATCTGATTAACTTAATTGTTAATCAAATGATTGAATTGTTTTCAATACCCTTTTCCTTTTAAGAACAGTCATAATCATCTGTTAAGTTAAATACAATCAAAGTCTATTGATTGTTATCAGGTTTTAACTGTCAAACAGTTTCAAGTTTCAAGAAAATGTTCAATAATAGGTCTCAAAACTAAACCTACAATTACATTTGATAATTCAATTTGAAACATTATAATCATCTTACATCCACTTGATTAAATCATAATCATCTTAAAGATTGACCAGTACAATTCTTTATCTTTTTTCTTATCTACATCGTTGATTATCACTGAATAATTCACGTTTTCAATATATTAATAAATCGTGATCAAGATAATCTTCATCCTTCCTATTTCTCTCTGGAAGCTTTGAATAAATTCAGTGTAAATGTATTTTCACTGTTTCATTAGGAACAATACTACAAGTTTCAGTCCCTTGCTATCTTTTTTTTTGCTTTTACAAAAGTAATAAAATAATGATAGCAGAGCCGGAATCACATAAAAAGAAGATGAAAGAAGGAAAAAGAGAGAGGATGGAGATGAAGAAAGATGATGTAACTGTAAAAGAGATGATGGATCCTTTAGATTCCCTCTTGTTGGATAGACTAACTAAACTTTATCATTGGTTCAGAATTGGAATCATGTGTTTTGTAACTTAGTTTATTTTATTTTTTCTCTCTCTTTCTCTCTTTCTCTTTCTTTTTCTCTTTCATGATCTATATCTTTATCTTCATCCTCATCTTTATCTCTGCTTCCTATCATCATTTCTTTTTTTCTGGGCTACCAATAAAGTCAATGACATTAAAATGTTTCTTTCAATGATTTTCCTCTTCCTTATTTTCATTCTAACTTCATCTCATCTCTTTCTTTTTTTCTATGCTATTTTATATTGAAAGAGGATGTGATTGTTAGTTAATGGTCAAGAATTACTAGGCATCAATAGGAAGAGTACAATACACCGTGATTCTTGTGAGAGAAAATATTGAAGTTAATTAGGAAATTGGTCCTATGGCTATGTTTATAAATTGACTAAAGATTAATTGAAATTGGTGATCACAATTGATCATCTAAAAGATCATCAAGTTTTTGTTACACAATAGGAAATGGGTTAATTTTTTTTCTAAATTAAGTAATAGATTAAAAGTAAGATTGATTAACTATAATCATGGTTACTAATGGTAATCGTTACAATGTAATTTAAGAGTAACTTTGCAACATTGTCTGTACAAATTTCATTGGTCAATTGTTATTTTGAGTTGTTTTCTCAAGTCTCTGATGATATCAAGGGAAAAGCTTTCCATCCTATCACTATTATCATGGTTATCTTACACTTGCAGTTTGAATAAAATTGGACACAAAGAGACAGAGGGAGAAAGAGGAAGAAAGAGAGAAAGAGAATAATATTATTTACTAAAGGAAGGAATAGTCTGATCAAAGGGAGATGAAAGTAAAAGAGGATCCAGAAATTCTGGTAAACATTGAGAATACTGATGATATTAAACGATATTGTAGAAGAGAAAATTATGAACATTCAGTTTAACCCAGAAAACTTTCAGAGTCTCTATTATCTGGTTTTTTTCTTTTATATCGAAAGATGCACATCTTAGCTTTCATCATCTACTATTTCTTCATCACTTTTTTTTATTTCAAATATACAATTTCAATAGACTATCTCGATTTTTATGTATGTGTGTGTGTGTCTTTTCAATTCAACTTTCATGCAAGTTTCAAAATCATTATGCATTCATCAATTTCTGTTGGGAATTGTTAATACATAGACGCAACTCACACGAAATCAACATTACCAACAACAATGTTAAGGTAATCATCATAACAACAACATTGATATTAGTTTCATTTTGAAAGTGAACAATCATAATGTGAAAGAAAGAGAAAGGAGAAAAGTAATATCATAATAGAGAATCAACTGATAAAAGATATGAATTCTTCATATACAGAAGATTGTGTTTATTTTAATAATAATAATACCTAATGAAGATGATGCGAGTAAATAAATATTGTAATCATTTTGTATTAACTTTGGACATTAGAATTTAGAAAATTAATGTAATGGGAAAAATTTATGAAGCCAATTCATACGAGAAAGTAATTGAGTGAACGAGATAACTGAATCTGGTGAAAGTTCATGATAAAATTCATGATTTTGATAATGAATCTGAATAAACAATGTCGGTGGGTTTTTTTAAATTCCCTTGAAATTTTAAATAATGTTTAGATATAAAAGAAATCAAAAATAGCTCCATGAGTATTAATATTTATCTCTGGTGACATTTTTATTTCATTTTTCATTATCTTCAAGTTATTTATCTCATAAGAATCAGAATATTTTATATATTATAAATGAAAATGCGAGTTACTATCATTATCTGGCTCATTATTATTCATTAACACGATTGTTTATTCATGTATGTATATTATAATCAGTGAACAATTACCTAAATCACATAAATTGTTGACCTTTTTAGATGAAATTTACTATGGATAGAGAGAGAGAGAAAGATAATCAATGAAAACAACAAAGAAAAATTGTAAATCAATAAACTAAATCAAATTAAATATTAATAATACACTAGAATGTGTTATTTGTATTTGTGTCTATGGTAATTTGTTTATTGATAGCTGGTAAAAGCTACAATGTATGTTAAAGTGTTATAATTAATCAAATTATTTCCTGTCTCTATTAATATTACATTGAAATCCAATATCACTTTAGATATATGAATAACTTTAATGATATTATGAGATCATCTGACAAATGGTTAAGATTTAAATAGACGAAATTAAATTAAACAAGATTATGATTACTTTAAACAAGATATTTAAGTAATTGGGTTTAAATTTGGAAAAAATAATCATGAATTATCACCATGTAATAATGTTATCAGTATTATATATATGATAATTAAGTTTTTTTTACATCAGGGAATCTCATTAAAAGAAGTGGTTGGTTTTTAAAAAATATTGCGAAAACAAATTGTCAAGTAATAAATTATTAATCATGAAGAAAGTACAAAAAAGATTAATGATTAATAAAAATCGTGATTTTCACTTGTAAACCTGATAGAGTTAATGTTAAATGAATTAAGGTATCAGATTTCGTCTTGGATTAGAAGTAAGAAATTAAATGTTTCACTGATTGCAACCTGTTAATCAGTGTTGAAGCAAAGACATTGATAACAATTAGTAATCAATGTTGACACTTAGGATGGTAACTGTGTATCTCTTGATGAAGTGGTTAATTTAAACTCATCTTCAAGATTTGATTACCCATTTTGCTGAAACATTACTCATCGTTGGACAAAATCAAAAAAAAAAGAACAAAAAAATTAACTAACCTTTCCAAAAGATCCTTTACCAATGGCTCTGAGAATTTGAAAGTCATCAAAAGTAACCTCATCATTGGAATCAAATTGTTTAAGTTTTTTCTTATTAGTTGACTTGTTAAAAGTCCACAATTTACTCCTGGTTATACCCATGGTGAATTCATTAATGGTGTTAAAAATAAAGGTGTCAATAAAAATCCATAGACAAATAAACGTTCATCAGAAAGATTCAGTAAAGGGTAACGATTGTGATGGTTAAACATGGCGACCAAGAAAAAAAGACAAACAAACAAACAAACACTTAAACAGAAAACAAAAGAACCAAAGTCAAAGGGTCAACTCTAAACTCTTGTCCATGTCTTTGGATAATTAATTCACTTTTAATTCTCAACAAAATTAAATCAACAATCAACAATTAATTACAATCCAAAGAAAACATGTTAACTTAGTTACTGTTAAAGTCTAAATGTTACAGGGATTGGAAAAGAACAGAAAAGAAAAGAGAACAAAATTTTGTTCGAATTTTTTTTCCACAGATGTGCTGCCATCTATGGAATTAAATTCTTTCCATCTGGTTAATTGATTAGAAAAAATTTTCTTCAATTTTCTTGTTGATTTAATTTCCTCAACAAATGTTCATTTAATTATTTTAAATGTAATTGTTCAATCAAACAGCAAATTTAATTTTTCTTACTGTTAATCTTTTCTTAATTACTGTGATTTAATCTGTTTGTCTTTAAACACCACATGGTTTTGTTTTTTTGGTAAAAATCTTTTTGTCTCCTCTTAACAGGTAAGATAATTTTTCTTGTTTACTTTAATATAATTGGAATAATTTTCTAATTTAATCTTGTTTTCTTTTTCAGTTTCAATCAAATTTATTGATTATGTTTAAAGGTAATTTTCTTAGGGTTTATAAGAGATCCTTAATAGGTGAACAATCATCTCTTGGTGGATACATTATCGGTCGCATCAACTGGGGTAACATTAATGTTCTTGGTTACAATTCTAGTTTAACATTTTCTACTTCTGATTCTAAGTCACCATCATCCCCACCACAACCTTCACCTCTACCACCACCATCATCATCATCACCATCATCTAATTCATCAGACAGTAGTAAACCAAAATCTTCCTTCAAATTACCAAGTAGCGGAAGTGATAAGAAAAAGGCTGGTTTCAATTGGATATCACTTTCCCTTGCTGGTGGTGTATTCGCGTTTGCTTGGCTTGGAGTTGATAGATTTAAGAAATATAAGAAAGAAAAGATTGACAAAACTTACCTTAAATCCCTTGGAAAACCTTCGATTGGTGGGCCGTTTGATTTAATTGATCAAGATGGTAAACCGTTTACTTCAAAAGATCTACTTGGTAAATGGGTGTTGATGTATTTTGGATTCACTCATTGTCCTGATGTTTGTCCAGAGGAACTTGAGAAAATAGTTAAAGTTGTTGACAATATTGATAAAAGGAGAGGTAAAGGTTCACTGATTCCCGTTTTCATTACCGTTGATCCAGATCGTGATACACCTGAAGCAATTAAAACTTATCTTAAAGAATTTTCTACAAAATTTATTGGATTAACTGGAGATAAACGTTCAATTGATAATGTCTCCAAAAGGTATCGTGTTTATTATTCCGCTGGACCCAAAGATAAAGATTCAGATTATATTGTTGATCATACGATAATCATGTATCTAATTGATCCTCAAGGTCAATTTTGTTCATATTTTGGACAAAATAAAACGGCCGCTATGATATCCGAGGACATAGACACCGAGATGCTTAAACAAGACAGTTCATCAAGATGGTTTACCAAAAAGTAAACTAACTTGCAGCTTAATTTAAATAGGTAATTGTTTATATATTTAATATACATTTAAGATGATACGATTAAAACGTATAGAGAGAAAATGATAAAAAATAAGTTAGTAATATTTTGCTTATTACAATACAAATATGAGATCATATTTTTTGTTTGTGTTTGTATTTGTGTCCATTTTGATCATCTTGCTGATGAGGTACTTGGCATTGACAATTAAATTATCATTAAGATGACATTAATGTAATTAGGTTGACCAGTTGAAAAAGAAATTGTTTGATAAATTTTGTTGACGAAAAATTATCTTCACAAAACCAAAGAAAACACAACAACAGACCAAAATAGATCCAAATGTTGATAGAATTGAATTGACCAATTTCAATGATTTTTTGGTTGAAAATCGACGGAAAAGAAGTTCTAATAAACTTTTGGCGATATATTTTCCATCCATCACGAAACAAGGGACAGAATTTAGAAGAGCCAAAGCCAAAGAGAATGAGGTTACATATCTTAAAAGTGTTTCCCATCGTTGGATTAACGATAAAGGTAAGAAATTGAATCGAGGTTTATAGTTAATCACCGAGAGAGACAAATAAATCTCATAAGGGTGACCCCAGAAAAGGAAAGAGGGTTTATCGTTTCTTTGTAATTCGATTAATCTAAATCCATCATTTTCACTTCTCGGACGAATACAAGAATGGCCCATAAGACAATCAACTGTTTCATTACAATTGGTTTGATATCTTTCCAAAATTTGTCGAGCCGGTAAACACAATTGTCGCTGATCGATTAGTGAATCGAAACATAAATGTCTTTTCATCGTTTCATCACAACAAACACCCTTCTTTTCCGGTTTCAAGTGCTCTTTGGTGACAAAAGAATCGGGTATACAATAACCTTCATCTGGATTGTTAATTAATTGGCGAAAACAATATTTCCAATCATCCTTATTGGTAATGAAACAATTTCTATTGATACTAGTTATCAAATCGCTTGATTGGATTCCATGAATACCTGTTGTCTCCCAGTTCTAAAGTAAATACAATATACAATTAGAATCACTGAACAATAATGTCAATCGATTGAAATTTTTACCGTTTGAGTATTTAAAACAACGACTCCATTTCCTGTTGAATATAAAGGATACAAAAGGCCTGGATTAGCTAATAACAGAATGGCCGTTATCAGACCAAGAATTAAATTGTGCCAAACTCCAGCGCAAAAGATTCTTAATCTACCACCGATGGAAATTTTTCTAAGTTGATCTTCAGAAATATCGACATAAGCAATTGGTAAGATAGCGAATATCGATAAACCAACTCCGTTAACTTTGACTCCTTCTCTGTAAAAGATGACGAAAGTTGATGATAAAATGATTTAATTTCTCAATTTCGAAGACAAATATTAACAGTTACCTTATTGCTGCGATAAAATGTCCAAACTCGTGAAGAACACTTGAAATGAGAAGAGCAGTAACGTAGTAAAATATTTCATCAAGAGGTAAATTTACTCCAGGAAGCTGAAGACAAGGAAGAAGAGAAGAAAAAAAAATTTAAATGAATTGTGACAGATGAATAGGAAGAAATAAAAAAAAACTGCAACAATTAGTTGACACTCAATTGAGACTTACAAATGGTTCCAATGAACCGAAATCATTTGGTGAATTTGTCTTATTGAATGAGACCAAATTGAAAATGGTTTGAATTAATATACAAATCGAGATCGGGATTAGGAAGAAAGAAGCCAACACGCCAAAGTTGGTCCATAATTTAATCGGTTGACTATAATTCCTAGTGAAATGAACTATTCCATGATGAAATCTGAAAATGATTGAGAAAATAATAATAATTTAAATTTAATGGAAATAAAAATTAGCTAAAGAAAAAAAAATAGAATAGAATTTGCAATTTCGATTGAAAATTCAAGATGAAGAACAATACTTACCTATTCCAATAGATTCCAAAGTAAAATGGTTTAATCTTCAGTCCAATTAACTTGGAAAGATTAAGATATGGATGAACATAACATGACTAAAAGAAGACAACAATTAATTAATCAGTAGAATATAAAAGAAAAACAAAAAATCAGTTGAACTCAATCAAACCATTAAAATGACAATAAACATTCAAGTTAATTGAACCTTTAACCACCATGACAATGAATACTTACCACTAGAAGATAATGAGTGAATAAAATGGTCACCCAGATTAATATAAATCCAATTGCTAGAAAAATTAAATCCATTGAAATGATGAAAAAAGAAAATTAAATCACATAATTGAAATAAGAAAAAAATGGAAAATCAATCAGCTGATGTTATGGAAAATTTTGGAAAAAGTTAAGATAATGAAAAGATGAAAATTGGAATTAATTGATTGTTAACATTTGATTTTCTTCGTTAATCAACTAGGTTATTGGTGAAAAAAGAGAAAAAATTAACCATAAATTAAAAGAGAAATTAATTAATCATTAACGAGGAAAACTAGTAAACATTAAAAAAGAAAAGACAACTGATTATGTAGACAGAGAGAATTTTTATCTTTCTTTTTCTCTGTCTATATTCTCTGTCTTTTTTTCTCTTTAGTTGATTGGATTTTTTTCATTTCGGTTTTCACTTTTCTTTTTTGCTAATCCGAATTTTTTTATCTCTTTTTAAACTCTAGTATTTTATATTAATTTATTTGTTGGACTGAATTTCTGGACTTCGGCATCAACATGGTTCATGGAATAATGAAATTGATTAAATTTGTCTTCGGATTTGTTAATTTAGTTCTTGTGGTAAGTAGTTTTCTCTTTCTATTGATTTTGGGTTTTCTTCTCTCTTGTTGGTTATTCATCTCTATTTCTATTTCTCTTTCATATTTTATTGACATCATCACATTTTCTTTGAATAATATTCATCGTCTTGTCTACATGTTTCAAAGAATAGAATTTCAAATTTATCTCTATTCTCACCTTGGTAAGAGGGAGAGAGAAAAATTTAAATTCTATCATGTCTTTTGTTAAAGTGACTCATTAAGCGGGATAAAGATTATGATCTATGGATTTTTCTCTTTCTCTTTCTCCATCATGTTGATGTTGGCTTATATTCTTAATATTTGAATGATGTTGAGAATTTAATGATTATATTGGATGAGTTTCTTTCTCTTCTTCTTTACCTTATGGTCACTTTCTCCAAACAACAATCGAATAGAGATTTTTTTTGTTCTTTTTTAACCATCTTTCTTTTTTCTCTTTTCTTTCTTTCTAGTGCTTTGCCCTTGGATTAATTGTCTTGGCAGCCAATTGGAAGGCCGAGATAATACCGATGGGCCACATTGAAAGTCTTGGGATCACTGAGAGAGCGGCAACAGCGTTGATCATAATTGGTTGTATTCTATTTGTCATCGCTTTCCTTGGTTCTTATGGAGCTTTCGCTGAGAATCAATGTATGCTTTTGACCTTCGCTGTTCTCATATTTCTCTTCCTTCTCATTGAATTTATTCTCGCTGGATTATTTGTCACCTATGGTCGACATGTAAGTTATATTTTCTTCACTAAATTCACCTAATTATCATTCATATTCTACCGTTTGGTATCAACAATCAACTCCCACTAGATTGTCACCGATTTTTTCCCATTTCCTCTTTGAGATCAAAGCCAAATTACAAAAAAAAAACTAATCAACCATTTGATGTTGATTTAATGAGTTTAAATGCTAATTTTAACAATTGTTACTACATTGATAATGAAATCTAGTATTCAATTCAATAATTTCATTAGTTTCTTTCAATTAGATCTAATTAAGTTAAAACTACATAAATGTTTTAACTTGTTTAATTATTGATCCACATTTAATCACCTGTAATATTGATCATTAATACTGATCTGATAATTGGTATAAGTGTAAAGTATTCCTCTTTTATAGTATTTAAAGATAAATACTCAGATTTATCAAATTCCTAGAAATGTTTACTCATCAACCAGTGATGATAATGATGATGAAGATGCTCCCTTAACCTAAAGCGATCGATATTTCAAATCAACTTAGTATTTTAAGTGTAGATTTATGTTCTGTACAATGTTTACTCTGAGAAAGTAAATATTTTATTTCTCATCATCATCATCACTTTATTACATTTAGAGTTAACTTTTCGATTTGTTCTTTTCTTTTTTGTTCTATTTGATCAAATCACTCGATTCTTATTGAATTATATCCGTTTTATTTTCTATTATTTTCTAATATAAATATTAATGATACAATCTATTTACTTGTGTGACACTTGTTGACATTTTTAATTATTCATCTAAGAAGATCAATCATAATTAAATAATTTTACTTTTTCTCTTTTAATCAATAGGAAGCTCATGTCAATGATATGGTTCGTAAACAAATGGAGCAATTTGTGAAAGAATATAACAATGAGAATGCTAAGGATCCTCTGAATACTCCCATGGATGAAATTCAAAAGTATCTTAAATGCTGTGGTGTTTATGGGCCCGATGATTGGGAAAAAAATGGCACCAAATTTTTACCTCAAACTTGTTGTCATGATGAACTTGAAGATGGACGTCGAGCAAGTGACCGGTGTAGCGGTGGCAAATACGTGGCCGTAGTCGGTTGTATGAACCAAGCGAGCAACATGTTGAAAGAAAATGTCTTCATTGTCGGTGGAACGGCTTTACTTCTCGCATTGGTTGAGTTAATTTCCATTTCGATTGCTTATTGTCTCTCGTGTGCTATTCGTGGTTCCAGTGACATTGATTGAAAAGAATCGTTCAGCTTACTGATATGATTCTAATCGAATCTTCCCATGACAACAATAACCAAAAAAAGAAAAGCATTTAAACTTGTAGATTCTTCCAACTTTTTGGATATTTCAACCCACCTTCAACATCCTCATCATCATTTGCGTGTGTTCATCATCTTAATGTTGACTGATTGTCGTCCGTCATCGTCTATGTCGCTCTTTTTTTGTGCCTTACCTGTCGCTCTAAATCATACACCTTGACATAGACAACGATTACTTTTCCAATCTTCAATTGCCAACGATAATATTTCCTGTTGTGCTTCACAATTAACCTCATCATTTTATCATCTATGCTAATACTCAATCTTCAATTTCTTTTTAATTCTAGTCGTTAATTAATTTCTCTCATCATCTTTCTTATCGACCTTAAAACTCACATTTAATTTCCTTTTTTTTTCATCTAATTTAAACCGGGATTCTCTCTATCTCTCTCTCATTTAAACAAATCTAACAACCATATACTCTCAATACAATTGTCCAAACCCAATTGTAACAAATTAACATTTAACTATAATCATCGTGACAAAAAACGTTCTTTACCATTAATTCCATTCTAACTATCGCCCAATTTACCTTTTTCATCACTTTTTCATTTCTTTCATCTTCATCATCAATTTTAACTCAATTATAATTAATTGACTCAACTTTTTTCTCTCTTCTCTTGAAAATTGTAACAATTTGCTAACCATTTCTTGTAACGATGTAATTGTATAATTAACGAATTGATGTATGTATTTGTATCTCAATGATAATATAAACCGATTTGGGATAAAATATAGAGCACAAATTTTGGCCAATTTATCATTTCTAATGGTTCCAACTAATTGTTTCAATTAAATTAACTATTTCAATCTGAGCGCTACAATTAGTCGAGCGCCATCTACATATCGGTTGTGTAAATAGAAGATGAAAACAAATGAAATTCATTTAATGAATTGAGTTTAATTTTGTTTCTTTCAATTAACTAACTTACATTTTCTTGCTATTCATCAAATTAACTAATTTCTATTAAAAATTGTTATTTTACACCATCGTTGTTTAGATTGTTAATTGTTGATTAACTATACGAATCATGTTTTCTACTGGTAGTCAAAGAAAATGTTGGATGTTGAAAAATGAGAAAGAGTTAACTACTTTGAGAGAAGAAGCTAATTCCCGATTTATTAACAATTTTAAATCTAATTATTCGCGGAAAGTAAGTATTTATCAATGAATTGATTAATTGATTCTTAAAATCGAGACAAAATTTAATTGTTTTTCTTTTCTTTTCTTCTACAGCAAGAGTTGTCCCGAGAACATTTCTTGTCACCAAGTGAAGAAAGGATTTTGCTTAGACATTATGAGTCAATTGTTAGAGATTTTTGTCGAAAATTTCAACCTTCAATGCCAAAGACAGTTGTAGTAAGTGATTTAGATTGTCAACTGTTAAATTGTGATGAAATTGGTGATTAAAGTGAAAAGAAATCAATGTTTTCTCTATTGAAGAACTTCAATCATTGTGAAGAGAATTTTGAGATTTTCTTTTTCATTGGAAATTCTATTCTCTTATTTGGTTTTCTATTCTCCATTTTAATTTTCTCTTAGGGGACAGCTTTCCAGTTCTATAAAAGATTCTATCTGAATAATTCTGTCATGGATTATCATCCGAAACACATGGTGGTCACTTGTGTCTATTTGGCCTGTAAGGTGGAAGAGTTTAATGTTAGCATGGATCAATTTGTCGCCAATGTAAAAGGTGATCGAGCCAAAGCCGCAGATATTGTTCTTAACAATGAATTACTTTTAATGTCACAATTAAAATATCATTTAACTGTTCACAATCCATACCGTCCAATTGAAGGATTTCTCATTGATATTAAGGTAAACTAATATTCTCAAAGTATTTCATCATATTGATTGTGTTTTTTTTCCTTCAAATTTATTTCTCTTTAGGCTCGATTCATGAATCCTGCCGATGTTGAGAAACTCAGAGGTCCAATTGATACTTTCATTGAGAGTGTTTTCTTTACCGATGCATGTTTATTATTCAGTCCATCTCAAATTGCCTTAGCCAGTGTTATCGATGCTGCAATTAAATGTAGAATCAACTTGGAAAGGTAAGTCTTGCTTTCTCTATCAGATTTTATCATTACCTTTACCTTTACAATAACTGGAAAATGATTTCAAATGAAAAATCACTTGAAACCATAAAACGAAACAATAATAATACTATTTATTGTCGATTATCAAGTAAATAGTTACTAGAGAAGGAAAATTTAGTTGATTGAATGGAATTGAATGAATTGAGATGAACAAAAAAATCAAATTCCTTTATTAAAGGTAATCAGCTGATATTGTCTTCTTTTGAAAGAGGAAGCGCCAAAAGTATAATGATAATAACATTTATTTCAATTCTATTTTGATTATAATTCTTCTAGTTATCTAATTGATCTACTTTTCGCTGATACTCCAGAAAAATTGGACTCATTTTACGAAATGAGAACATGTAAGTTTGAATAGAACGAGAAATCAATTGAATTTCAATTGTGAGTTATTAATGTTTCTTTTTTGTTTCTTTTTTCTTTTTAGCTTTAAAATTAATGATTGATAATATTGAGCAAGTTTCCAGGAATCAAGTGAAAATGATTGAACAAAAATTGGAATCATGTAGAAATCAGACCAATAATCCTGATAGTAAAGAATATAAAAGAGCAATTGAAGAAGCCATGGAAAATGAAGAAGCTGAACCAATCATGAAATACGCCAAGATCAGTGAGGAACAACGGAAACATGATGATTCCTATTTAAATCCAAGTTCATCATCAAGTAGATCATACAAATGATTTTTCTAATTGTTTGACAACAAACGAATATGTTGACCATCATATTGGACTAATGATTAACCACCAAGGAAGAAACTTTTCATTTCTTCTCAACTAAAAACAAGCAAAAACTGGAAATTCTCATCTAATTATCGTTAAATTACCAACTCTGATCATCAACAATTATCGATTGCCAATATTTTGTTTTCTCGTGTTAAAATTGAATCAAAAGAGAATCAACAATCAGCGATAAATCTCTCGATTAACAATTAACATTACCCAAAGTGTTGATAATTAATGTTAACCTAATTTTCACCAGATAAATGTAAATCCTAATTGACATTTATTCAAACCTCAAACCTCAAAAAGCAAACAATTAACTTTCCAATCAATTGAATTGAATTTGAAAAAACAACAACAACAAATGCTTTAAACTCTTGAAGTCAATTGTTGATTGTCTTGATACTCACAAAGCTAATTGTTGATTATTTTATATTATTTTTTGACAGAAAAAAATAACACCAAATAACAATAATTAAATTGTAATTGAAACAAAAAACTCTCTACTTTGTTAATTGGAAAGAAAATTGTTCCAATTAAATTAAAGTGATGGCGCTTAAAGCATAAGAATCTTGAGTAACCATGTGATTAAAATGTTTTCCCTTTTGATGGAAAAGATTTTTTATTTTCTTTTTGTTAATTGTTCCATTTAATTGTTATATTGTTTTTCTCTTTCTCTGTTTAGTTGATTTGTTAATCGTTCTAATTGTAAACATGAATACCAACAGTTCTCGTGAAGATGTTTCCAGTGAGTTGACATTCACCTTAGAGGAATGGGCCCGATCAAATGGGATAAACACTCACGAATTGAAGGATAAATTTACTAATATCTCGCCGAGAGATGAACGGATAATCGCGTTAATCCTTAATCGTCCGGTAATTTCTTGCTACATGGAAAGAGTTGAAGCTGCCTGGGCTAATCGTGATTCCCCTGATGCGAACAATTATTTTAAAAATGATTCCAAGGCCAAAGAATATCGTCTTCAAGGTGATGAACATTTTACCGGTAAACGTTATCATGATGCTCTCTATTGTTATAATCAAGCTTTAAGATTTGCTAATTTTGAACGAAATGTTTCCAGTGAAGGAAATGAATTGATTTTAACTTATATTGCTCGTTCTGGTTTACTATTTGACTGTGAACAATGGCCTCAAGCAATTGCCGATATTAAAATGGCTCTTAAATATGGTTGCCCGAGAGTAGAGTTAGATGAACGTAGGAAACAATGTGAAGCTAAATTAGCTCAAGAGAAACAATTAGCTGAATCATCAGGAATAAGTAAAAGTGGTGAAGGTAAATCAGCCGAGGATGAAATTGTCTCAGAATTGGCTGGACTTGGGATTGGTTCGTCATCGACATCGACATCGACAACGACAAACGAAATGCCAATGGAAGAACCCGAACCAACCATTAGAGTTATTAACACCAAAATGCCCGCTGTGTCCATCAAGGTTACCGAGACTGTAGATCCCAAAAGGGGCAGAGGATTAAAGACAATTGATAAAGTACAATTTGGTGAAATATTGGCAAAAGAATCACCTTATGCTCATACATTATTTATTGATTGTTTCGGTGATTATTGTCAATCTTGTTGTAAACCTTTGGATGGACACACTATCCCTTGTCCTGGATGTTCAATTGTTCAATATTGTTCCCGTGACTGTAAGAAAGCAGATAAAGTTCACTGGAAATACACTTGTCACCCTCAATTACCTCATATTTATGATCCATTGATTCAATTAATGTTACGAATAATTTGTAAATCATTTATGCCCGAAGTACGATCACCACTACAAGTTAAATCAAAATCTTCTTCATCTAAATCACAACCATCAACATCTAAAACATCACCAGCATCTTCATCATCATCATCATCACCATCAACAACAACAACAACAACTACTACTACTACAACGACAACAATCAAATCTAATCCAAAAGATGAAAGTGAATCAATTCTATTAACTAATTATAACAGTTTTCGTAAACTTTGCCATCCACCAATCGCCTCATCAGAATACGTACTTCCATCAATTTATGTCGGTTTATTGGTACGAAAAATGTTCTATTCCCTTAAGAACAATCAAGGTGTGGTCATACCTAAATTAGGAATTTTAATTCCTCACATTTTCCTTCATTATCATCGACTTTTGGTTAATAAGATATTCCTAGTTGATCAAATGGAACCAATTACTTTGAATACTTCACCAGTTTCGGTTGACGAACGTGGTGAGAAAATTGGTCTCGCTATTTATCCGACTTTGGCTTTAATTAATCACGAATGTGTACCTAATGTTTTCCTCTTTTTCCATGGACCTAAAGCGATTATTCGAGCCTCCAGAACAATCGAACCTGAAAAAGAATTGTCTCTATGCTATGGTCCAAGTTTCGCTTCGGACACTTACAAAGATCGACAACGAAAATTGTTTGATTGGTATTATTTTAATTGCGAATGCGAAGTTTGTTCAACCAAATCAACATCATTCCAAATTTGTTACAAATGTCCAAAGTGTTCAAAAGCATTGGTGGTTAATGAAGATGAAACAAATGAATGTACTAATTGTGATTCAATCAACATCCTTGAGCCAAATGTGTTTAATTTGATTACCGAGACAATTAATGAAATGAATCGAGGACGAAGTTTATTTGAAAAAGGTGAATTAGAAGAGGCAGTTAAAATTTTATCTAAATGTTACAATCAAATGGACGATCATCTTTATCGATCTAACTGTAATCTAATTAGATCTCGAACTTATCTTGCCGATTGTTTAACGGCCATGGGTCATCATAGAATGGCCTCTAAATTGACCGCTGTTAATGTTAACGTTACCGGTGAAATTTGTGGATGGGAATCGGTTGATTATGTTTGTGTAATGATAACTTATCTTAGCTTAATGTACAAAGATCTTGTTGATATTTGGGATGAAGGTGATGCAGAAACAATTACAAGTAGATCCAATCAAATTATCTGTTTAATTGATGAACAAATTGAAAGGATTAATCGATTAACTCGATTAGTTGATCCAAGTGCTAATCCATCAACTGTATTCAATCAAGAGATCAATAGTCTCAATGGAATTAAGGAACAAACTCAACGAATTTTATCGCAAATTGAAACTAATCAATAATAATTGATTCCGCTGAAATTATCATGTTAAATTTATGTAGACAATTTAATTGAAATTAATTCGAGGAAGAAAACAAAAACTCTCTGTGATCGGTAGCAATTAACTTTTTTCTTTCAAAAAATATTGACCTTCTCTCAATGGAATTAATTGTTACCCTGATAATCGATAAAAAAAGGTTTATATTTTTATTTAATTAGAAAAAAGAAAACCAATTATGTTGTAAATGATTTATTGAGAAAGAAAAATATTTTTCAACAATTAACTTTAATTCTTGTTCTTTCATTCAAATTTACCGCAATTCGGGTGGAGCTTGGATTTGAATCTTTTCGATCCCAGGGTAGGATTGGAATCTTTTTATTTGGATCCAAATGTTTTCTTTTTTTTTGTAATTTAATTTTTTCTTTGTTTCTGATTAACATTTACAAACCTTTTTCTAACAATTAATTAATTTTTAGGCTTTTAGTTTATTGATACTTTTGATATTGTTCTCCTTAATTGGTCAACGGCTTAGAAAAACTTATCATAAAGTAGAAAACAAAAGTTATCAATGGGATATTTTTAATGTGTCACTCGTTCTGAGTTTTTCTTTTCAAGTGGTAAATCAAAGCCTCTTAAATTGTGTTTATGTGTTTCAACTGATTAATTTAATTTTACTTAATCACCGTTAATTAAGTTGAAATAAGCGACTCTTATTGCTTGCAGTTTTCGAATTCAGGTAAATACAAGTTGTATTCTTTTTGGAAATTGGTTTATTTCCATATTCTCTTTTCGCTCTTTTTGCTCTTTTTAGAATTTGTATTAGCGGTTAGATTTTGATGATGATGATGTTGGTGATTAATTAGTTTTCATCATTTCATGTTCTCCTTTAACTTTAGGTCACCATCAAACTAAATGTGTTCACCTTCTTTTCCCTCAGTCATGTTATATTTTTTGTTTTATTCTCTTCAATTTAGTAGCTTGATTTTCATTTTTTATATTCTTTTTAATGCCTGATTTTATCCCTAATTTCTGTTTTCTTTTTCTACTTCTTCCTTTAAAATTTACCTTTATTTCTCATTTCTTATTTTATTTTCTGAAATTTAGGTTATCAATTGTGAGAGAATCAGTAATCAACAAGGTTAATAGATTTAATTCTATTGAATAATAACGCGATTGATATTGTAGAACTAGTTGAAAATTCTCTTTCCCTCCTTTCTTTTACTCTGTCTATTTAATTTTCTCTCTCTCTCTCTCTTTTCTCTAATTCATTGCCCAATTGTTGAGTTTTTCTACTTCAACATTGAGAGGAAAGAATTATCGAAAGAGGGAGAGAGAGAGAGAAAATTTTAGATAGAACATCTTTTCTCTTTCCTTTTCTCTTACTCACTATTATCTCTCTGTTTTTATTTGGCTTACTCACAACTGTTTTTCTCTCTCTCTCTCTCTCTCTTTCATTTCTGTGTCTGATCCAAAACACTTCAATATTATTTCAACTTACAGAGACGAATGGAAACTCAAACTGTGCTCAGAAAATAATCACACTTTTCATGGTGGTTGAGTCGATCATCCTGTTACTCATCTTGAAGGAAACACCGTTTTTTTGGTTACATACAAGCAACTGTGTTGGCGGTGGCAGTGTCATTTCCACCGTGGTTTTCCCTTTTACTCGGTTTTTTTGCATCTTTTTCAAGAAAATTTAATATCATCTTTGTGTTTATCTATTATATGTTCCATGATAACAATCAATTTTTGGATAACCTTATCATTTATTTGAATACTTTTCATCTCAACGACTTATTTGTGTATGTGTGTGTGTCCTCACTCTTTAATCAAGATCAAAGATCAACTTTTGGAAATCTTTGTTTTCTCTCACTGTTGGTTTAACAGCAACAATTTATTGTCTCTCTATCGTTTATATGTGTCTTGATTGTGACAAACAATTGAAAATAATTATAAGATTGTTACTTTAAACCATCCAAAGCCAATCCAATGGCCTCTTCACTTAATCATGGAGGTGGTACAAGTTCATCCACCAAGAAACATAGATTCAGCTTGGAACGATTCTCACTTCGACGTTTCCTCAATTCAACCGCTTTAGGACGTACAGTTGGTACTGGAAGTAAACCTCGTAATCCAAGCCAGAGAGATTTACATATTGAGGTTAGTTTATGTTTATACACGATTTTCTCTCATTCAATCAGATGTTGATTCTCAATGTTTTCAGTTTTCTTTTTTTTCTCCATCTCCTTATCCATAAAGAAAAATCAACAAATGTTCTCATGTTTATCCAACTAGTATTTTATTTTCCCTTGATTCGATCTCTATTTACAATCTAACTTTTCTTTCACGGTCAACATGTATTTCACGAGGTTTACCTGTTTATACTCATGAATTTGTTCATTCTCGCTTAAACTACTATCACTATTAACTTTGTTCATGGCTCAATGAAAATTCAACTTTTTTTTTTGCTTTCATGTTTCATGTTTTCTTTTTGTTTTTCTTTCTCGTGGGATTGAAACGTTAACACAGTTTCCTAAGCTTTCGTTTATACCTTAAGCTTTTTTTTCTTCTTTTTTCGTTTGACAAATCGAAACAATCTTGTTAATTTATCATGTCTCTCACCCAAAGATTATCAAACAAATATCATGTTGACAATATCTAATTGATTTCGAACTTCTTTTCCCTTCTCTCTCTCTCTCTTTCTTGCTAACGAAATGCTTTGATTCGTTATCATTTACTTATCTTATATTCACCCTACTTTTATTCAGCTAAATGTTAACTTACCTTTAATCAGCCTTTATCATTAACTATTCAATAATCACCATTTAAATAACTTTACTTGTTTTTTTCTGTTCTAATTTTTTTTTGATATCTTTCTCTCCCCTCTTTTTCCTCTTTCTTTTTTACCTGTTGGATATGATTCAGGTATCACTTAAATCTGAAACTTTTCAAGCTTACAATTCATCAATTGATTTTGAATCAAATTCAATATCAAGTAGTGGTGATACACGAGATCCAAATACTACTCAATTTAATTATCTTCACAATCGTAATGGTCCAGGTCACTTATTACCAAATTCAAACGTTTCCATAGGTGGTGATGGTGGTACATCATGTAAATCAATCAATTCACCTTCAATGATCGGAGTAGCATCAGGTTCAACATCAACACCTACAGCATCTTTACCACCACCAACAACATCAATGGAATGTCCTTTATGCCTTCTCGAATTAACTTCAGATTGTTTTCCACTGTTGACAACATGCTCACATCGTGCCTGCCACACTTGTCTTCAACAATATCTTAAGATAGAAATTTCCGAGAGTCGAATTAACATATCGTGTCCCGAATGTACTGAACCTATCCATCCAAACGATATCAAAGCCATCCTTGCCGATGAAATTTACCTTAACAAGTATGAAAATTTTATGCTTCGTCGAGTCCTTGTAACCGAACCTGATGCCCGTTGGTGTCCAGCACCCGATTGTGATTATGTTGTAATTGCCTCGGGTTGCGCCTCTTGTCCTAAACTTCGATGTTGCCGACCAGGTTGTGAGACCTCATTTTGTTACCATTGTAAACAAGAATGGCATCCAAATCTTACCTGTGATAGTGCTCGTATCATGAGAAATAAAGATCAACGTCGACACCATCAAAGTTACAAAGCACGTTCTTCCTCTCTCACCTCTAGTCATGATTCAATTAAACTTCGAGATGATGTTAAACCTTGTCCTTCTTGTCGTGTTTCCATAATAAAAATTGACGATGGATCATGTAACCATATGACCTGTTCCGTTTGTGGTGCTGAATTTTGTTGGCTTTGCATGAAACGTATCGGTGATCTTCATTTCCTATCACCTTCAGGATGTACCTTTTGGGGTAAAAAGCCATGGTCACGTAAGAAAAAAATTATGTGGCAACTTGGTATGTTGGTTGGTGCACCAGTTGGAATTGCACTTATCGCTGGAATCGCTGTTCCTGCCATCATAATAGGTAAATAATTTGCAATTACTTTTATCACTTTATTTTTCTTATCATTTTACACACAATTAAATCACTTCTCACCCATTTTATGTGTTCAATCATATAAAAATTTACCAACAATTAAATATCCTCTCAAAGTGATCAAGTAATTTTCCTACTTTCCACAAGTTAAACATGAAAATGGCAATTAACAGTTACATGAACACAGTTATTACATTTTTATTTCCCTTAGAAAGTTAATTAATCCCAAATCTAGTTTACAGTTAACTCATTTTACCAATAACAATCCAATTGTTTACCTGATCAATATTATACATGTATGTAGATACCTTAATATGGATCTTTAACAATTTACCAGATTTACCTTATTTTGTGAACAGGAATAACAATCAGCTAATTGAGTTTTTTTCTCTCTATCTGATTGTTTACAACTTCCTTCAGTATATTTTGATAATTTTATTTTGTTATTTTGTTTTCTTGTTTACAGGAATAAGTTTTTCTGCTTAAAGAAATACAAAAACAACAAAAACAATATAACTTTGTTTCTATTGAATGTAAACAATTTTAAGTTATGATAATATTACAAAATAGCTCACTAATTCCTGTTAGATGTTAGTCTTAGCGTTTTCTCACCCCACTCCTGCTCACCATCCACCTCCCTCCTTCTTGTTTTACTTACATTACTATCGTTACCAGACAAACATGAAAAGAAAGTAAAGTTGTTACAGATCAAATGAATTGTATTAGATGATGGAAAGGAAGAAGAAGAAAAAAAAAATGAGGAAAAAAAAGAACAACAAGAAAACTGGTGATGATGATCAGAAGAAGATGAAGAAGCAAAAAAGGCGAGGTATCTATAAATACTTGAGCTGAATGATGAAGCCAATGACTTTTTCAATGCTCGATGTGGATCAATGCTCAGACACTTAATACACACCTATTATTTTGTGTATTTCTTAGTATCAAAGAAAGACAGTAGAAGATGAAAGATAGAAAGTAAAAACATACACACATCAGGACCAGAAGATGATGATGATATCCATGAAGACATTTTCCATGGAATCAGCATCATATTGATGCGAAAAAAGAACAACCATTAAAATCAATCATTCGATTCCAATGCATTTAGATTAATCTTGATCATATTAGTGTTTTTCTACTCTCAGTTAATAGTTTATCTCAACGAGTATAATTTTCATCCTTTGTTTACATTTTTTCATCTTTGATATGATGATATTAATCATGATTTACTAGGAATTATTATTCATCAGTAGATTTGATAATCAATCGAATAATTTTGTTTCCTCTCATCCTTTTCAATTTGTTTTTTCCTAGAATTTTACTAAATCACTTTAAACAATAATTATGAGTGAATTTATAAACTAACTCCTATTGCATTAATAGTTGCAATTAACATCTACAATCTTGATTATGTTTATATTTAAACGATCAGCTGTTTATTTTTGTTATGATGCTTTTAACATTCTGGTCAATTCCAATAATGATAAAAGTTATTATTGTTTACATTTTATCTGTTTGTGTTTTTAAATAACGATCTTTAATTGTGATTGTTAATCAAATCAAATGACTAAAGATAAATGATACTCAACTACTGGTCCATCTTTATAATGATATATTTTTTTTTCTCGTTAAGTGATGTGAATATTATCATCTTATGATAATAAATAATCTTAATTTCTTCTTGATATTTGTCAAGAGTTTTCTTGACTTCCTATTGTATTTTTTTCATGAGATTACCTTTGACAAGATTGAAAAAAAAGTATAACAATGAAACCTGTTAATTCAGTTGTCAGTTATAACAGTAAGAGATTATTAATATGATGAATATGAACATATCGTCATGATAATGCAACTTCCGTGTATCTTTTTTGTCAAAAATTATTGACAAAATTGTTATTTCATCTCATTATTAATATCAGAATTGTTCCTCTCATCATATCTCGTGATGAGATTATTATTAATATCCCCATGAAATTTTATCATGTTAGCTGAAAAAATCTCATTCTTAAGAAAAGAGGATAGCTACTGATTAGATTTTTATATTTACACATCTAGTAAATTGATTTTGTATCTCAATTGTTTCAACAATTAACAATTTAATCCTATGACATGATGGTATCTTGTGAACACTCAATCAAATTAATTGACTTTTTTTCATGGCAATTAACACACAGGTAGATTTACCTATTTTCTTTTTTGATTTATCCAAAGATAATCAATCTTGTTTGTTGACAATTTAGTTTTAATCATAACAATCATTTCTAATCATGACCTATCCTTTAATTTGTTTCAATGTTTTTCATGATTTTATCTTCTTCATTATCATGATCATGATTATTATTATGACAATCATGATGAAACATTTACATTTTGAAGGACCAGTTAATTATTATTTCTATTTGATTAAATAATAATAATTTGTTTGTGTATTCGTATCATGATAAGATCATCATCAATCAATGAGCTAAATTAATTAATACCAATTAGTTTTTGTTTAATTATATTATCTATTATTTGATCATTCAGTTGAACTGCTTTTCATTTGTCTCACATTAACTGATTGTTTTGACAGTCAATATGTTAATTTTGTGTCCATTGTGTTAGTTAAAAATTCGTTAACCATTAATTAACTAATTGTTGTTGATCATTTGTTTTTGCTTTTGTCTTTTAAAGGATAATTATTTTTACACAATATTGTTATGTGTGTCTATCTCTTTAAATATGCTAAATCACAATCAACTGATTGTGCTAATCTAAGGGAACAGTTAATCTCACGAAAATGTAATCACCATTGTTTACAACCATTTGAAATTAATTGTTATTGTCTACCAATTGTCTACTACAATTAACTGTCTTTTCTTTTAACCATTTACAAATCTACTTTCCTTTCTAATCATAATCAATAATAATCAAATGAATTGATTCCACAGCAATTAAATTAGCACAAGGTACTTACACCAATAGAAACCTTTTAATATACTCAATGTATATTATCAACTTTTACATTACAAATGTTTATTTTACTCTTTCATTAAACACTTTTCATGATGATGATAATTGAACAACAACATGACACAATTTCATCTGTAATAGTGATTAAATTGATGATGACATTTAGTTACTACTTTCTCTCTCTGTCTCTCTATCTGTTAGAGTAAATTTTCAATGATTAACTGATTGTGTTTTTTTTTATAAATTACCATTTACACAATTAATTAGTGATAATTGATTGAATCTTTATGATCCCTTTTTTTGTTATCAGTTAATTTGACTAAATTATTATTGTTGAAATTTTCCAGCTCAGGTGATTAACTGTCTCAAATTAATCCTTTGTGTTTTCCCAAATTGTAACTGGATTACAATCATTTTAATTGTTGTTTTACTTTGGTTTTTAATTTACTATAATTAGCTGATGGTTTTTACCATTTAGTTTATATTAACTGATTAACTTAATCACAATTATTTTTGCTTATACTTTAGTATATTACATTTACCGTTATGAAATTATCATAATATATATTTCACAATGATTTTATCTGATTGTGAAAGAGGATGAATAATAGACTAAGAATTTTTTTTTCTTCTCCAACATTAATCATGATTATCATCGTTATGATTAACTGAACTGCATTTGAATCTCAAGATTTCCCATGAAAAAATCTCTTAGATTCTGGTGAAGGAAAAACTAAAGTTCAACTCACAACTTTCTGATAAGTAACTTAGGAACCTTAAATTCCTGGCCAATGAGTTTTTACTATATTTATAGTTTACTCAATTGAGACAATCCATCTTGCCTTTCATCATCATCATCATCATCATGATAATCAGAATCTCTTGATATCTGAATTCTTACTGCGCATTAGAATGATCCTCGTGATTCTGTAAATGAATCACATTTTCCTGAAGAAAACTGATTTTCAAGTCCACCCAAACTGGATTAACTAATTCGATATCATTTTTAACGTCATCAAAGTTTATTGATTCGATTTTGCAATTTAATAGCAATTAACACACAAACTCATGTAAAAACCAAGTTATCACTTTATGAACTAAATCAATTAATTAGTATCACCTTTTTTCCCGATAAATTTGAGAAATAAATGTGATTCTGATTGTAAATGACCTGAAATCTTATTTACAATTTTATTGATGATTAATTAATTATTCTCTTAATAATAATAACTCACCGGATGATGGTGGAAAATTAAGTTTTGATTGATTAACTTGATTTCAGCCTAAAGTTAATCAAATTTAATTCTAATTGCATTTATTGATCATCTTTGTATAAATAATATTTACCTTTACCTTTACGAGGAGAAATTTATATAAATTGTTTAATCAACTATCTTAATCATTGATCATAACGATATTTAATTAATCACATGTGATTAATTAATCAAACAATTAAACTTTGTATCAATTTACTTTACATTCAACTTAAACTTGATGTTAATGACATTAATCCAAAACCATAATTAGTATAAATCTGCAATAGGATAAGTTACAACTCTAAAAAGAAATCATCTTTTTCATCCTCATCACTTTTAACATCATCTTCATCTTAATTGACATCAATCTTGACGTAGGTTATCAATGATGATACAAGTTAATCAAAGTTAACATTTAGTTAACTAGTCTTGTTAGTTTTTTCTTATTATAAATGTTGATCATTTGAGTTACTAACTGTTTCTATTTTGATAAATTAATCCTTAAAGTCCATCTAATGGTCATCATTAAACCCGCTTTGATTATTTATCCTTTTGATTCAAGATTTATCGTCTTTTTTTTCACGATCAAGGTGAATAAAAATCTCACAATTAATCCTTACAGTATCCAACATCATTAAGCAACATTTAGTTCACAATCAGTTTATTAACTGACCACCACTATCAATAATATAATCTGATTGACCAAACCAATGACCAAATGTCAATAATAGTTGGATATTGATTAGAGAGGGAAAATTGATCATGTAACTTGAATCCTAAGGTTGATTATATTGTTAAGCATATTGTCAGTCAATGTTAATTGTGTTTGATTAATTATTGATTGTTAAGTCTATGTTTACTCAGTTATCATGAATGATTGTCTTTTTTTTGCTATTGTATTTATAACAAGTTATTTATATTATCATAAAGTCTCATGATTGAAATGCGATTCATTTTATTGAAAGTTAATAATTAATCCGGTAATCCAATATATATTTTGGTGATAAAATATTGGATTAGTAATGAAAGTGTGCGATTAATAAATTGATTGAGAGAGTAAAGTGATGAAGGAATTAATATTTAGGATGATAAGGAAGATAGGAACATGTATCATGATGAAAGAAATACAAAAACAATTGAATTACCTGAAAAAAGGGCTTTTACCTCTTTCGAGTTCAATGAATCTTATCGATTTTTCATTCTTCTCTCTCTCCCAAACTACATGATGATAAATTTCTCATCATTTTTTGATCTATTGAAAAACTTCATATTCTTAAATTTGATTATGATTCTTTAATCTTGAGAATCATTTATTCTTGATAGTTAACTAATTTCTAAATTTACTACAATTAAAAGCGAAAAACATTGGTTTTAATCAACTAACTAATATGAATCCAACTTAATTGTACAACTCAAGCAATAGATCATGAAACTTCACAATTAGCACTTGATAAACACTTGAACTAATTAAATACGACATTGAGCTTTCCAATTAAAATTAAGTCGCTACAATTGATTGTCGAGTTATGAAATTTCACCGTCATGAATACAGGGAAAAAAACACCCTGTATCTAAATGATTAGGATACAAATTAGATCAATCGTAATCTTAATACCTTATGATTTGACGATTAAAATGATTAATAAAATGAGAACGGAACTTAATCATCATTTTCGTTAATTGTGAATTCAATTATCCCATTCTGATTGGATGGAAGTTTTTTTCTCCTCTCATCTTGATTCTTGCTACAATCAATTTAAATCATTTTATCAACAATTTAATTGTTGGTAAGTTTTTTTTACTATCTATCATATGATCATAATAGTTATAAATATTGTATTTATATGTTTAACCTAATTTTTAACTTTCCTTTTTTTGTATGTCCAATTTAATTGTTAATAATTTGTATTAATGAAGGACAATCAAGCATTTTTATCATGGACACACAACTATTATCATTTAACCGCTATTTAATTATTTACCTGATTAGTACAATCCATGGTTAATCTTGCAATCCGATTGGCTTAATTTTTATTTCAGTTAATTGTCTCAATTTAAATGGTTTCCTTTTTCCGTATTTAATCATTACAACAATTAACTTTAAAGCCATTCAGTATTTCTGGTCAATGTTTACTATTGTTGATTTATCATCATCAGGTTTTATGATGGTGATGATGATGATGATGATTGTTACCTGTTTTGATTGATATTTTTTTTTCTCATATCAATTGAGTTAATTAAATAGTTGATCAACATTTCCGGGTAAAAGTATTAGCATCTTAACATAAGATTTTGTGTTTCTATTGTGATTGAATTGTTGAATTTTCCTGTTACGTAACAATCAACATAACTATCCACAGGTATCACAATCAATGGGCAACAATTAATAACAAAAAAAAATATATTCACAATTAGTTTATTGTTAATATATATATTGGAAAAGTTTCTTACTATTTATTACAATAGCTTTTTAGCCATTAATTGTTATACATGTATAATAGCAATCAAGGTTTGAAACGATTTTATCATGATTAACAACAATTCTGATTGTAAATGAATAAAGAGAAAGAAAATTGTTCCATGTGAAAGATTTTTTTTCTTCATCATTTACTCATGATTCTCATTATTATCATGAAATTATCAACCATTTCTTAAGCTTCTCACTCCCGTTACTTTGATTATCATTTTAATATTTAAGCAAGAAAAAAGGGTTCATCAAACTATTAAGCTAATCAGAGTAAACAATCAACTGATTATGATGCTAATGATTTCATCTTATTGTTAGTCAAGATTTTGATTATTCCTATGGTCCATTCCAATATCGTGCTTACCTCTAATAACTAAACTTACCTTTCCTCCTCCCTGAAGCTTTTTTTATCTACCATAGGTGATGGTGGTTTTGTGGCGGTGGGAATTATTTATCTTGCCTTGAATTGAATAATGAACTTAACCAATGCAATTACTTTCTTTATGCAACATTGCCTTGCATGTCTGAACAACTCACATTTTACCGTAAATGTCATGATTAACATGATATTATTTTGCTAATCCATGCAAATTCCTTGAACCTTATAACGTACATTTTGTTTTTCGTTTTTTTCTCCTTCTCATCATCATTAGAAGAAGATAAACTTAACATCATTGACCGTTAATAGCATTATTATAATCATGAAGATTTGCTGGGGAAGAGAAGCTTTAACCTTATTGGCTATCTAATGATTATCATTCTTGAATCTCGATTCTCAGCATCATCATCATGTTTACCTCTTTCCCCCCTCTTTTCTTGTTTATCTTTCTTTTTCTCTTTCTCCTTTTGTCTAAATTATCTGTGTGTTCTAGCATTAATCTAATTGTGATTCTGGCAACAATACAATACAATTAAATCTAAATCACTCTCACAGCTCACTCAACACTAGGAATGTCAATCCTTTACCAGCATCTCCCCTTTCTCTCTCTCTCTCTCTCTCTCTCTCAGTCATTTTCATCTAGTTTTCTGCTAACAACCATCATGATGATGATCTTTATCTTCATCTTTCAGGTTACAAATAGAAATCATATAATAAGAGAATAGATAATTTTTTGTAATCTTTTGTTATTATTCAATGTTAATGTTGAAAAGTCTTTTTTTCAATAACAGAATTTTTTCCACCCAGAGTTTCATTCAGGATAATCTTTGAATAAAATGAAATAGTTCAGGGGGAGAAAAAACTAAATGTCATAATATCTGCTGAGAGAGAGAGTTCTGAACAGTTACTCTGAATAAAGATGAAACCTTGAAATTTAAACCTTGAAAATGTTTCAACGTTTGAAATTATTTTTTGACTCATTCACTCAATGGTTTTTAGTTATGATAACAATTATGATGATAATGATAAATCAATGGTACATCATGATATTGATCGTCAGCTGACTTAGTATGATGATGTTGTTGACATTTGATAACTATTACCTATTAGTTAGGTTTTTTTTTAACTTGAAGATTTTCAATTAAATGTTGATTGTCATTATTAATAATTGTTATTTTTTCACTTGTCTCTAATGTTACCTAATTATTGCCTCTCTCTTAATTACTATTTTCAAGTGTATCCGATTGTACTTAATTGTAAAATATTAATTCTGGTTAAATCTAGTTTATTAATGCTCAGGTTCTTGTTGCTAAGTTATTAACTAATGAATCTGATAATTTTTTTTTTATTATTCTGATCAATTTTAATCATATCTTAATTATCACAATTAAATAATTTTATGAGCATTAAATTTGACGATTAAACATAATTTTGGGTTTGCATTTAGTGTTTCCAGAAATTGATTCAATTGTGATTAATATCAAACTAACTACAATTGTCTTTAACACAATTTATTATTAGGCGAGTTGATTAGTTAAATTTACATGAGTTTATAATTGATTATAATCACGCAAATGATTATGACCATCATGATTAGTTAGTTAATTATTAGTGTAAAGGAGGAGGAAATCACTTGATTAACTGACAATTAATTAGTTTTTCTATAGTAATAGTAATTAACCTTTTGTTGGTAACAATTAGCTATCTCATTTGTTAAATTGTTGTCTAATTAGGAAAAAAAAATCTTTTACTAATTGTTTATTTTTGTTTTTAATCATAGGTGTTCCTGTTTGGGTTGGACGTACTCTTCATGCTCGTTTTGCAAAACAATCAATGAATCAACATAAAAAGAATCTCCTGGTTACTTCCGGTGTGGTTACTTCCGTTCTAATATCGCCCATTCTAACAGCCGTTGCCATAGGTATCGGAGTACCAATTCTATTGGCCTACGTGTACGGAGTGGTTCCCATATCTTTGTGTCGCTCCGGTGGGTGCGGAATATCAACCTCATCTTCAGGAGTTCGATTTGATTTAAATGACGAGGAAAGCGAAATGGGACTTAACGCAACTTCATTTGCTCCTGGTAATTTAATTATTACATCGACAATCAACATCCAAAGAGAGAAAAGGAAATAGAAAGACTTTGTTGCATCATCTTCGTCGTCATCAAAATCTATTTGTTATCATCGTCAACAATTGATTGCGACTAATTTTTGTCTCTATTGAATTTAATTGTTAATCAAATGTCAAATTTAGGTAACCCGGCAAATGATAATCTATTTTCAATTAGTAATTTTTTTCATAATTTCCTCTTCGTTTTTTTAATTAGTAGCTATTTTATGTCTACAATTACATTAATTACTGTTGCCTTTTTATTAGTATTGATTAATTGGTTAGTCAAATGATTAACCATCACGAGTTGTAGTAGTTAACTTGTCAGACACTTTTTTTTTTATTGTGATGGTATTAATTTATATATACTTAATCATGCGTTAGTCAATTTGTAATGTAATTGTGTTTACGATTTAGTAATTGATGAATGAGATTAATCAATTAATCACTTCACTGAGTTTTTTTTATGTTTCCCTTGAGAGTTAGTGAAAAATTTTCAATTAGTCTTTAAATGATATCTAATTATTTTTTTTCTGATTACTAATACAAACAATTTTATCTCTTTTTCCGTTAATTTGTCTACAATTAATTGATTATCAGTGATTAATTTACTTTCCCTTTATTTGTTTCCTCCCTTTCCTAACCTTCACAACAATTAACACCATCTCTTCATAAGATGATATTAATTGTTATTAAATATTATTATTACCATGAAATATGATGTTGAGTCTAATGAGGTTGATGATTTGAAATTATTACCATGATTATGGTGGTTACGAAGACGATGATGAGAATGAGAAATTCATTTCTCTGAGAATAGATTTTTCCAACCTTGATGATCAATTTGTTGATTGTTTTACTTTATAAATGTTACACTCTGATTTACTAATTGTTGTCCCTCTCTCTCTATTTATCTTATTCCCTTTATTATTAGATGGCTTAAGCGTGGACACTGCAGTGAGTAACAAAGGTGTTAATCCAAGTATCGGCGAGGTTTCTTTTGGCCTGTCCACCAGTCTTAGTATGGGCGGAAGTGGATGTCACCTTGATAAGATGTTCATTGATCGAGATGCATCTAATGCCGCTTTAGCCGGAAGTATAACGGGATCATCTAAATTGCAGGAAACTCTTTCAATGGGTGGACCATCATCTTCATCATGTAACAAACGATTCAGTGTAACCAGTAGTGAGCAGCAAAGTGAAACCGCTTCAAATACTATCTCTTTCAGTGAGAGATGTTCAACCAACCTTTCACTTGGAGATGATGCTTCAACTAAAGCATTAGCGGGATCCATTGTAGGCTATAAAGATGTTTGCATTGGTACTAATTCATCATCTTCATCATCATCTGGAGGAGGGAATACAGTTAATCCTGGATCAAATTCAATTACACCGGTTGAGATTCACGTTACTGAATCATCTAATCATTGTATCATCGGGAGTAAAAGTTGTCACTGTGAAGACTCATTAAGCACCAAAAGTGCTAAATTAATCGGGGAAATTAAACCTTCCACTGGTGATAATTATCATAATATCACTCCAGTTGCTGGTACATCAAGTGCCACTGGTACTAATTCTGGTGGATCAAAATGTGTCTCATTCCAGTCAGTTGGTGGTGGAACCAAAGGAAAATTAAATAAATATGAATCACGATCATGTGAACATTTAGCTAATTATTGTATCATTTGTGATCAAATCCATAGACCATGTTGTCCAGTTTATGTTGTTAAACTGTCCATGCAAACCAATGACACAAGACAAACAATGCCAACATCATCAACTCCAACCACATCAATTACAACACAAACTACAATCCAAGCATCATCATCATCATCATCATCATCTTCCTCTTCATCAACCACCACACCAACAATAACGACCTCCTTATCATCAGCCATATCATCAACATTATCATCTTGTTCCTCTTCCTCATATTCAAAAGACGATTCTTCGAGTAATAATAATAGTCCAATGAACAATTCAACTTTCACAATGTCCCCTTCTTGTTCATCTTTCCACTCTTATCATCAACCCGCTCAACGTAAAGAAAGCATCAAATCAACCACCTCAGATACAACACCCACTCAAGGTAGTCAAGGCGGAGGATCAAGTTCCACTCATGGTTCCAACGGCGGTGGTACCAATACATTTGAACGATTGAAAAGTTTGGATCGATCCAAAGCTTTCAGTAAAGATATTGACACAACATCAACCCTCGCCAACTCAACATGTCTATCAACCCATTCACCATCCGTTAACAATTAATTGATCGTAAATTGATTAGCTTTTTAATTGATTTCATATAAATTGATTTAATTACGACAATTTTGTATTATAATCCTACCCGAAGGCATAACAAAATCATAGATTTATATTTATATACAAATTGTTGACTATGAAGATACTAAAGATGATCAATATCAGTAATTTAAGCAAAGGTATTTTTATCAAATTACATTCAAATTGATGATGATAATTAAGTAAACATGATGATAAAAAATGCATCAAATTAGATTATGATTTTAATTGAATTGTAAAACAAGGTCAGTAACTAATAAGCGGGAAGAAATTATAATTTAATCATCAACATCATCATGTTTAACTTTGCAATCTAGTTAAATGATTTTCTAATTTTCTAATTTTTTTTTCTTTCTTTCTTGTTACAGTCAACTAACAATCGGATCAATAGGCTGATGTGTTGATGATTAACCAGAGAAAATGTAAACATCAACAACAATTAACCAAAGTAACCAAAGCCTCACCAAAAGTGACTCAATTTAAATTGTCGGTTCTAAAATCAACCCAATTTAATCTTGCTCCAATATCATTTTCATCTCCCTTTTCCCTATTACTCTCACTCATCTTCCAATTTTTGTTTGTGAGGATTACCAAGCTGCTCAATTTAATATGTCATCTGATATCTTTATGTAATATTTATATGATTTGGAGATAACTTATATAATTAATCATCAACAATTTAAAAATCTTCTTACAGGAAAAGTAAGCAAGTTGATGATTTGGAGGAAACAGTGAACCCGATGTGAGATGTAAGATAATTCAATCATCATTCAACTTCCCCGTGTATTGAATTAAATTGATAATAATACAATAACAACAATCGATTATGATGATGATAATGATGATGATGACGATTACAACTCTGGTGATAACTATTCCCTGAATTTAACCCTGAATGAAAATGTCGATCTCGTTCCTTGTATCTCTTACATTTCGTATTCATCAAATCATCTCTCTCTCTCTCTCTCTCTCTCTCTTTCTTTCTTTTTACTCTCAATTTTGACCAAAATTATGTATTAAGTGTAACACAATTAACTGGCTTACTAATCACTACAATTAAGGTTTATCCTTTTAATTCATTTATATATAAATCAGATTGTATTATCCATCAAACCCAATCTTTATCTTCCTCTAGAGTTCATCAAATCTATCACTTTATCACAAATATCTATGAAATACTGAATGTAAATTGATTAATGATTATTATTATTGTAAATTAACTCAACAATTAATCTTAATACAACTTTTCTCAGGTTTATAAATCTATTAATATTTACATGATAATCATGAAAATAATGTAATAATGAAAGTAAATTGGTTATTGATCATAATTGTTTATAGATTGATAATCAGATTACTTTTGTCTATTGGTATCAGTTTTATGTAACTTTGATATTCATCATCATCATAATCATCAAACAATTTACCTGGAAAAAATATTTATAAATAACAATATGATTAATTTTATACATCACATTAAATATGAAAATTAATAAACATCAAGAATTGTAATTAGTCTGTTAATCAGGAAATATAAATATGAGAAGATGAAGATATGAAAAGTGAGTGAGTGAGAGAGAGAGAGAGAAAGGAAAGTTTGTTGCTCATTCTTTTCTCTCCGCACCTTCTGACCATCACCTCCCACCAGTGGAAAACTGACCAAAGGAAATATGGGATAAGCTTCTTCTCGAAAGGTAAAAGGGATGATAAATGTAAATAGAGAAGTTGAAGACTGAGAGAATTTCACTCGAAACGATGAAGTAGAAAAGAAGAAAATATTGAAGTAGCTGTCGATCATCTTCCTTCCTCATCCTCATCCTCATCTTCTTCTTTACCAGTGGGGATTTTGTTTACCAATCTAAAGTTCACCGACCATCGGTAGCCCAGAAAATCACCACCACGATCACAATCACCGCCATCACAGTGACTCCACCGCCAATATAACCAAATAATCACTAGTAAAAGTTGCAAGGTAAAAGGTAAACGGTCAGTAAGTCAAAGAAGAGACGAAGACGAAGAAGAGGAAGAAATTGACCCTTTCCCTTCTTCTTGAAATGACCCCTAGTCTCATTTATCTGACCCATAAGATATTCATCTTGATTACCTGGTTGTTAATTGATCACCACAAGTAAATCAAATTTCAATTAACATTCAACAACTAATATTATCATCGTCCTATTGGTTAATATTTATTTACCAAAGGAAACTCTTGTCATTACCTGTGGACTAGTGGTCAGTGGTCAGTTACTGTATATTCATAGTGTGTGTGTGAGTGTGAGTGTTTATCTGTCAATATGTTTGTATTTGTGTCAATCAAATGTAACCAACATTTCAAAACATTGAGACTTTGGTTATCCCAATACTTGAGTGTTCAACTAAATTCAATTTAAAATCATTGACAGAAAATTAAATCAACCTGCTGATTTACTTGATTAACTTAATTAATTGTTTTCTTTTTTTGCTACTTTTTACTTTTCGCAACTAATATTATAACTTGAACCATAGATCTGGTGGACATCAAGTGGTGGACACACAATCAATTAACCTACTACTGATTGACCTTTCAACTGACCATTAGATGCTCACCAGGAGATGTTATTTATTAATAATTATCATTGTTGACAGTTTTAATTATCATCATCATCATAATCTCATATTGTTCTTGGTTCATCATTCACCTTTAATTACCTTTTGTATTTCTTAACAACAATTAACTTGAATATGATTGTTTTGAAATCGTCCATTTTTTGTCTATGATCATTACCTTTATATTATGATCTGACCACTAGGTTTTTATAATTAATTACGATTTGATCTGATTTGTGGTGAAAGAGAGAGAGAGAGAGAGAGATTTTCTCACAGTTTAAATTAGACCAATGGTCAGTTTTAACGGTCAAACAGTGAAATTTCAAAGGGAATGTTCAATAACTGGTCTCACACCACAACAACAACGACATTTGATACAATTTAAATATTATAACAATTTATTTAATGTTAACCATTGATTGATTCAATTGATACAATTTAAAACATCATATTTATCATGTTTACTTAATCATAATCATCTTAAAGAGATTGACCACTATCATTATCATCTTCATCTTTTTTTCTCATCTACATCGTTGACCACCACTGATTATCATTCACATTTTCAATATAAATCGAGATCAAGATAATCTTCATCTCTCTCTCTCTCTCTCTCTCTCTCTCTCTCTCTCTCTCTCTCTCTCTCTCTCTCTCTCTCTTTTACACACTAATCTCAATCAAATCACCTTAAGATGTTAACCTTTGTTATCTTTGGTCAACAAACTGACCTCCTACCAATAACATGCACACACTGTTACCTTTAATACTCTTGACCATTCAATCAAATATCACAAGTACATTAATAAATAGTCAGAGGGAAAGAGAAACAAAAGAGAGAGAAATATTTTCCCAGGTAAATAATTGATTGAATTTGATGTTGATTTAAATTAATTCTGTTTCTTTAATTGTTTCATCTAATTTTTTTCTCTCTTTTTCCTCTTATTATTGCCCTAATAGTTTATAAAAAAAAGAGAGAGAGAGAGAGAGAGAATTGGAAATAAATTGTTACCATTATGTATTTTAATGGTGTTATATCGTTATGATTGTTAACAATTAAATGACCATTTGATTGATCACTTTTACCATGTTCATGATATACTAATTATTATTATACTAATCATTTACTAATCATTAACAGTTGTAACAATTTTCTCTCCCAATTGTTTCCCTTAAATGTAATAGTAAAAAGGTGTAATCAAAGTTAATTGAAAACTAAAAGCTAACTTGAGGCAATTGTAACTATTTCTTTCAATCTCACCAAAGTCTCTAATTGTAATTAGTTAATTACTATGATCAATATTATGATTAAATACTTCGAGCCGATCACCCATATAAACACTCACACTCACACTCTCACTCACATACACTCACATCCATAGACACTCACACACTCACACACCTTAACATTTTCATCTTCATTCAATTATCATCTTTATCTTCATCATCCTCCATCTTCATCTTCATCTTCATCTTCATCTTCATCACTATTTCTTGTGGTTTCTACACCAAGACAACTAACTATAAATGATGATAGCGATCAAATTGATTAGGATAAAGATGATGAGACTGATGATTATGATGATATTATCTTCCCTTATCTTCATCACTTTAATATTATTATTATATTATAGTTAATAAGATGATGATGAAGATAAGTTTAATTCAAAATCTCATCATCATCATCATAATCATTTTCACTCCCTGTTTATATCATGTTGATATGGTCACGAAGTACGTGGTCACTATAATTAACCGAATTTAATTTAATTTAACTTCAACAATAATTAAGGTACAATACCTATGGCTCAGTTTATATCAACAATTAAAACACAAGAAATGAAAACAAATCAAATCATTATCACAAAACCTTAATAGTTAATCTTAGCAATTTAGGAAATTGATTATTAATTAATGGCAAAGAAACTTTTTAATTATCATTTTAAAAACAGATTTAATTGTTAACGGTTAGCGCACTTTTAGCAACTAAACAATTTTGATGAAAAAGTTAATTAATAGTTAAGAAAGTGCGTCAAAATTGATTATAATCATAATCATTAAAATACCTTCACAATAATTAAATATGAAAACAATGATTGTGATCATCATTAAGACAATCATTAAGCAATCATTAATTAATTGCCTGCATTTAGAATTAAATCAACAGACACAAATGTTAAATGATTAACTAATTGCTTTTCCGTTTCTATGCACGCGTAACAATTTTATACAATCAAATTGATTGTGTAATGAGAAACATCAACTATTGTAATTTGATCACTTGTTGATTAATTGATTTTAGATTTTAGACAAATTAAGCGTAGACTGTGAATTAGAATACAATTAAGGTGATGATGTGTGTCCATCTCTTCATTGTGAAGAGAAAACTGGACACACAAAGAAGATTAAGACTTTTAGGTGAAAGAATCAAAATTTACATACAATTAAATCTCATTTTGTCTCATTCACAATTCAATTGATCTTATTTTCTGGTTGCCCAATAGCTTTTCACTTAAGGCTCATTAGATAAACTCAATGGTCAAGGTGACCACAGTTCACAATGACCATTGATGGAATATAATAATGAAATATGTAAATGAGAATGAGAATGTGACTGTGGCTGTGGCTGAGGATGAAGATGAGGAGAAGGATGATATCTTCATTGGAACAGAAAGAAAGAAAGAAAAAGAGTAAAAAAGTGAGTGAGAGAAAGTGAGTATATATTTCATATAAGATTCTTTTACGAATCGATTGTATTTTCGAATTACTTTTTTTGTCCTTCTATTCAAAGTGACACATTATTTTATTGTTATTCTATTATAACAAGACAAACTCCTCTTCCTACTCCTTTACACCATTTTCTCTCTCTCTCTCTTCTTTAACCTCCCACCTTCATCCCTCCTTCATCTTCATCTTCATCTTTATCCTTTTTCTTTCTTGAAAAACTCTCAAGGTTAACATGTTGATGTTTGTCCTTTTTTTGTCAATGAAACCGAGATTAAGATGAAGATATATAAAGATGAGAAAGAATGAGGAAGAAGAAAAAGAAAGAAAAAGAAAGAAAGATAAAAGTGGATCAAAGGTGATCTATGTTCGGTCAGTGTAACTGGTCAGTTTACTTTTCTTCCTTTTTCTCTTTTCTGTTTGCCTTCTTCTCCTTCTTGTTTTCAGCTTTACTTTCATTTTATTAATTCTTTCAATGGTCAAGCCGAGCCTTTTCTTTCTTTCTTTCTTTCTTTCTCTCTCTCTCTCTCTTCTTTAACCTCCCACCTTCATCCCTCCTTCATCTTCATCTTCATCTTTATCCTTTTTCTTTCTTGAAAAACTCTCAAGGTTAACATGTTGATGTTTGTCCTTTTTTTGTCAATGAAACCGAGATTAAGATGAAGATATATAAAGATGAGAAAGAATGAGGAAGAAGAAAAAGAAAGAAAAAGAAAGAAAGATAAAAGTGGATCAAAGGTGATCTATGTTCGGTCAGTGTAACTGGTCAGTTTACTCTTTTCTTCCTTTTTTTCTCTTTTTCTGTTTGCCTTCTTCTCCTTCTTGTTTTCGGCTTTACTTTCATTTTATTAATTCTTTCAATGGTCAAGCCGAGCCTTTTTCTTTTCTTTCTTTCTCGCTCTCTCTCTCTCTCTCTCGCTTCATTTCTCTTTCTCTTTCTCTTTTCTTCCTCTTCCTCTTCCAATGTTTTTTTTATCAACAAACAAATGCAATTGGATAACATGTTATCAATTCAATTAACATGTTAACTAATCTCAATAAAATGATAGTCATCATCATCTTTTTATCATTGACCATTAGATAAACTGGACACTTGGTCATTTCGTCATTCAAAACGTCTTATTACAAATATAAATCGGATATTTATTGTCTTTCTCATCTATTGTTATTCCTTTTACTAGTATTCCAATTGATTGATTACAATATCATAATAATAATGATAAAAGTAGTTGACCAAAAGTTATCATCATTTACCATCAGTTATTATGTTTCTTTCGTTGGAAACATTTCAAATGGTCAATATGGTAACTTTAATGGTCACTTTTCACTCAATTGTCTTTTTTATCTTCTCTTTTATATTTTCTCTGTTTTTCTCTCTTTTCCTTGGAATCTTTTTCTATTCATTTTCATCTATTAAGTGATAACTTTATTTGTTTGTCGTCCATTCAAAGAGTCAACACAAATTCATTGTGTCCAGTCTTAGATAAAATGTCCATTGATTATTAAGAATCAATTTAACAAAAATTATCCAACTAATGAATTTAATTAAGGAGAAACAATCTACAAGTTCTATAAATCATTTTCTGTTATGATTAAACTTAATTAAAAAAGAATAGAGAAAATAAGTTAATCATTAATAATAATTTCAATTTCTAATTATCAACAACATCACAATGAAGAAGAGAGAGAGAGAGAGAGAGAGAGAGAGAGAGAGAGAGAGAGAGAGAAGATGAGAAAGGGAGAAAAGATGAAGATGAGGATGAGGAGAATGAGGAGGAGAAGGGGATGGAAGAAGGAGGTTTTGATGGGATTTTCTTGATGTCAACAAATTACCTGAGATTTTAAAACAATAGCAGTAAATTAAACAAACTAAATCGATTAACGGTTTCGGTCTAAGAGAAAGAAAAAAACAAATAAACGCAAAAACAACGCCTTCTAAATCATCTTTAGGTCAAAAAAGGCTTGATTCTGTCAATCTCAAGTATCGATATTCAAATTGCAAAATCTTGACCTCAAAACCAATTGAACTTTTCTGTTATTCTGTCAAACTTATTTTTGAGATCGAAACCATTGGAGATTAATTTGCCGTTGGAACTGCGGTTCTATCCAAAGTAGAACATGATTAGGTACAAGACTTTTGGAATCCCCTAATCCGATAGGCGTAATTAATTAACCAACAATTAATCCAAGATTAATTTGATAAGATTAGTTGTAACAATACCAAATTAATAAAGTTCAATGAAGAGACATCGAAAACATGATAAGATGAAGATAATCATCAAACAACTGTTATCTTCATCTTAATATTATTCGATAAAAATGAAATAAATGATTGATTCGATTACAGATTAATTGTTACTATTGATGATTTATGGTCTATTAATAGATTCAGTTTCATGGTACAATGTTGTGCTCATTATCGAGTGCTAATTGAAACATTTACATGAGTATATAAGTATTAGGAGAGAGAATGATCAAGTTAATTAATAAACTAACCAACGAGCTAAATTGATTATAACTTGTCAACCTTTTCATCTGAAAGTAAAAGTTAATTATGTTTAAATTAGTATTTGCTTGTGTTTTATTGGCTTTCGTTGTCGGTGTTTCATTTGGTGATCCCCATCGACCAGGTAAATACTTGGATCATGACCGAACTGTGGTCAATTGTGCTAAATACAAGCGAGAGGCCAATCAACACTCGTGCGTCCTTTCACCTTTCAATACGGAAGGACCTTATTTCTTATCCGATGATTTAGAGAGATCTGATATTGTGGATGGTCAAATTGGTGTTCCATTAGATTTGAAAATTAATCTGGTCAATTCCAATGATTGTACTCCCCTTGAAAACATGTATGTTCATATTTGGCATACAAATGCTGTGGGCAATTACTCGGGTGTAAACAACGCAGGTCAAGATGTTGGTGGTTTTTTTGGTGGACATCGACCATATTATGAAGATGCTCGACCTGGAAACAATGGTTTTGGTAGTTATGGTCGACCCACTCCAACAACCAACGAAAGATTCTGTCGTGGTTACCAGGTCACCGATTCCAATGGTCAAGTTAACTTCAAGACCATTATTCCTGGTTGGTACTTTGGACGATGTCTTCATATTCATGTTGAAATTTTCGCTAAAAATACAACCGAAATCAATGAAATCTCATATGTTGGTCAAATCTTTTTCGATCAACAATTACCCTATCAACTTAAATTAATCGAACCTTATTCACAGAATAATCAGCAACTCACGATCAATGAAAAAGATCATATTTATCTAAAACATGGTGACGAAACTTTGATTAAACTCGATTCCAATGGTTCCAGATTCTCAAGTGCAATCACGTTGGGTTTAAATCCTGAGGCTAAATAAAACTGATTAATACTGATATCGAAACAGTTAGCCAACTTGGCGTTGATATCGAAAATCAAAAGTCAGATTAATAATCAATAAACCTAAATTTCTAAGCAAGTAAAGTGATAATCTCAATTTCTAATAATCGTCAGTAACAGAATGAGAATGCAAGAGAAAAACGAAGAGAGAGAAAATAGAAATTAAATGAGAAAGGGAGAAAAGATGAAGATGATGATGAGGAGAATGGGGAGGAGAAGGGGATGGAAGAAGGAGGTTTTGATGGGATTTTCTTGATGTCAACAAATTACCTGAGATTTTAAAACAATAGCAGTAAATTAAACAAACTAAATCGATTAACGGTTTCGGTCTAAGAGAAAGAAAAAAACAAATAAACGCAAAAACAACGCCTTCTAAATCATCTTTAGGTCAAAAAAGGCTTGACCATTGATCAACAACACCAACAACACCAATACCAACACCAACACCAACATCAACACCAACTTCCACATCCACATCCACATCCACAAGATCAACAACATCTTCAAGAGAAACACATGATTAGGATAAAGATAATGATGAGGATGCACCCAAGTCCCAAGTCTCGAGTCTCTTGAGTCCTTTAATCAATTTCCAATCATAACAATTATCTTAATGATTGTGATGACCAAGAGGATGTTACCAAAGCGCATCCTTGACCATTAACAACTACCATTCATCAACAGCAAAAAAAAATATCAACAATAACAAATTCAACCTCCAATCAATAAAACAATTAATTTCTTACAGTTAGTTAATCATATAAACAAAATAAAATCATCTAATCACAATTAGGAGATCCCTTTCAATTTGATTAACTTTCAATCATTTGATTGTTTTCATTTTTTTTTAAAATCTTATGATTATATTTTCATTTACCTTAATCATTTCAATTTATTTATCTTACCTTTAATTGTTTAACCCATTAATTGTTGGTTAATTAGCACCTTAAGACAATCAAAGTCCAAGTTAATCAAATCCCAGGGATAAAATTTTCTTACCTTTTCAAATGTGTTGCCATGAGCCAAACTAATCTTGAAACAATCAAGTTAATTAATGATTTTTGATTGAAAAATGATTAAATTGTTTAGTATGATTTGTTTTCATAAGAATAATTGATCAGAATTAATTGATTGTGGCTTAGGAAAGAGAGACAAACTTAATTGCTAATCTACAACAATTTTGATTAACTTTCCTGTAGATTGATTGTTTCAATCAATTTGTTAATTTTTTTTTCTCTCTGATTCTCTCACTTAAATTGCAATTTAATTGCATAGAAATATTTAATTGCGACTGTATATATATTTCTCTGTGTTTGTGTGTGTTCATATTAAATCATTTGATTAGAGTAGCAAAAACAATTTAATTAATTTCAACGGTAAGTTAATCAAGTTTAAATTGTCAGACAAAGTGAAGAAAAAAAAATCCAAATCAAATTCTGGTTTCCAATTGCAATATAAATCAACATGGAAACTAATCTTATCTTGATAAATCATCGTCATAATCTTAATCATGATAATTAGCAAATTCATGATGTTTTCTAAACTTTCTAAATTGTGATTAATTGTTTGCAATTATATTTAATTTTCAATCGAGAAAATAAAAATTAAAAGAAAAAACTTTTATCCAAATTGTCGTGAAAGTTTTTCACCAAACCTTTTTAACGTTCAATCTTTAAGAGTAACAATTTAATGAAGACTATGAATCGAATTCAATTAGTTAATTGTTAACAAAAAAAAACGAAACAACAATTTAAGGTCTTGGTTTTCCCATGGTCATTATAATAGCCTTTAGGTGAGCCCTTGCACGACCCAAAGCCAAGGGCAAACACGACAGACACATAAAAGGAGGAGGAGGAGGAGGAGGTGGGAGAGAGCACCCAGCCCCTTTCATTGACCATCATCATCATCTTCATCATCATCTTCATCATTATCATCATCATTTTCATCTTCATCTTCACCCAAAAACCCAATGGTCAAGAGTAACATTATTGTTGTTACTCTGTGTTAATGATAATCAAAGTTTTTTTTTCTCGCATTATTATGATTATTACGTTGAGAAAATTAATGAACACCAACAATTAACTACATAACCGGTAGGTTAACTTAATTATAACGGATTTAGCTTAACAATTAAGGGGGGGAACTTAACAAAGGTAAAGTTATATATACAATCAACAGCATAATACAAAAAAAGGTTACAAGTAATTTCATATTTACAATCTTGGTGTATACACTTAAAATTAAGGTGTAGTTGTAAACAACAATTAATTAAACATTGTACCCAAACCCAAATTATAGCAATCATTGTTAAATAATAAATTGCTTGTTGTTAATTTTTTTTTATTATCGTTGTTAGCCTATTAATTATTAAATGTAATCCGTTATAATTAAGTCAACCTACCGGTTATAGTTGATTATTGGTGTTCATTAATTATATTACACTTTTAAACGTAATAATAAACTTTCATTGTTATCAACAGAGATCAACCTTTTTGGTGTGTATGTTGTATTAAGTTAACACTGGGTTTTGGGTGAAGATGATGATGATGATGATGATGATGAAGGTGGTGGTGGTGGTCAATGAAAGGGGCAGGGTGATGGAACCTCTTTTCATCTCGGTTTCACCTCCGCCTCCTCCATTGTGTCTGTCGTGTTCATCATCTTGACTTGGGTCGTGCAAGGGCTCACCTAAAGTCCATTTAATGGTCATGGGAAAATCGAGACTTTAATCAATGAAAATTTTTTTATTCAGAAAAAAAAGATTAATAAACTTTAGATAATAATATTAACCTGTTGTGAAATTAATTAGCTGGATCATTAGTTGTTCAGACTATTCAATTGAGACTCAAGTTAATTGTTATACTAATAGATGAGTATCGAGACTCATCAAATTTGATTTCTGTTTGATATAGAGTTGGAAAGGGATTTTTGTTTATTTGATAATAATTTAATAACAATGTAAATATTGATAAAAAAATAATTAATTGGAGGTTGAATTTGTTATTGTTGAAATTTTTTTGCTGTTGATGAATGGTAGTTGTTAATGGTCAAGGATGAGCTTTAGTAACATCCTCTTGGTCATCACAATCATTAAGATAATTGTTATGATTGGAAATTGATTAAAGGACTCAAGAGACTCGAGACTTGGGACTTGGGTGCATCCTCATCATTATCTTTATCCTAATCATGTGTTTCTTTTGAAGATGTTGTTGATCTTGTGGATATGGATGTGGAAGTTGGTGTTGGTGTTGTTGATCAATGGTCAAGCCTTTTTTGACCTAAAGATGATTTAGAAGGCGTTGTTTTGGGTTTATTTGTTTTTTCTTTCTCTTAGACCGAAACCGTTAATCGATTTAGTTTGTTTAATTTACTGCTATTGTTTTAAAATCTCAGGTAATTTGTTGACATCAAGAAAATCCCATCAAAACCTCCTTCTTCCATCCCCTTCTCCTCCTCATTCTCCTCATCATCATCTTCATCTTTTCTCCCTTTCTCACTTATTATTTCTTCTCTCTCTCTCTCTCTCTCTCTCTCTCTCTCTCTCTTCTTCATTGTGATGTTGTTGATAATTAGAAATTGAAATTATTATTAATGATTAACTTATTTTCTCTATTCTTTTTTAATTAAGTTTAATCATAAATGAAAATGATTTATAGAACTTGTAGATTGTTTCTCCTTAATTAAATTCATTAGTTGGATAATTTTTGTTAAATTGATTCTTAATAATCAATGGACATTTTATCTAAGACTGGACACAATGAATTCGTGTTGACTCTTTGAATGGACGACAAACAAATAAAGTTATCACTTAATAGATGAAAATGAATAGAAAAAGATTCCAAGGAAAAGAGAAAAACAGAGAAAATATAAAAGAGAAGATAAAAAAGACAATTGAGTGAAAAGTGACCATTAAAGTTACCATATTGACCATTTGAAATGTTTCCAACGAAAGAAACATAATAACTGATGGTAAATGATGATAACTTTTGGTCAACTACTTTTATCATTATTATTATGATATTGTAATCAATCAATTGGAATACTAGTAAAAGGAATAACAATAGATGAGAAAGACAATAAATATCCGATTTATATTAATAATAAGACGTTTTGAATGACGAAATGACCAAGTGTCCAGTTTATCTAATGGTCAATGATAAAAAGATGATGATGACTATCATTTTATTGAGATTAGTTAACATGTTAATTGAATTGATAACATGTTATCCAATTGTATTTGTTTGTTGATAAAAAAAAACATTGGAAGTGGAAGAGGAAGAAAAAAGAGAAAGAGGAATGAAAAGAGAGAGAGAGAGAGGAAAGAAAGAAAGAAAGAAAAGAAAAAGGCTCGGCTTGACCATTGAAAGAATTAATAAAATGAAAGTAAAGCCGAAAACAAGAAGGAGAAGAAGGCAAACAGAAAAAGAGAAAAAAAGGAAGAAAAGAGTAAACTGACCAGTTACACTGACCGAACATAGATCACCTTTGATCCACTTTTATCTTTCTTTCTTTTTCTTTCTTTTTCTTCTTCCTCATTCTTTCTCATCTTTATATATCTTCATCTTAATCTCGGTTTCATTGACAAAAAAAGGACAAACATCAACATGTTAACCTTGAGAGTTTTTCAAGAAAGAAAAAGGATAAAGATGAAGATGAAGATGAAGGAGGGATGAAGGTGGGAGGTTAAAGGAGAAATAGAGAAAGAGGGAGAAAATGGTGTAAAGGAGTAGGAAGAGGAGTTTGTCTTGTTATAATAGAATAACAATAAAATAATGTGTCACTTTGAATAGAAGGACAAAAAAAGTAATTCGAAAATACAATCGATTCGTAAAAGAATCTTATATGAAATATATACTCACTTTCTCTCACTCACTTTTTTACTCTTTTTCTTTCTTTCTTTCTGTTCCAATGAAGATATCATCCTTCTCCTCATCTTCATCCTCAGCCACAGCCACAGTCACATTCTCATTCTCATTTACATATTTCATTATTATTTTCCATCAATGGTCATTGTGAACTGTGGTCACCTTGACCATTGAGTTTATCTAATGAGCCTTAAGTGAAAAGCTATTGGGCAACCAGAAAATAAGATCAATT